CTCCTGCGGGAGAATCTGTGAGGACTACTAAGGCATGCCTTAACCTAGTGGTCGAGTTTAAAAATAGGAAAACAACTATGGACTTAATTATCCTACCACTGAGAGGTATGGATGTAATTGTGGGAATGAATTGGATGGCTGCAAATGGTGCTATCCTAGATTGTAGAGAGAGGAGTGTGTCTTTATCTTCTTTGTCGGTGACCCCAGTCGAGACTCAAGATCATGTTTTCTTATCGGCGGCGCAAGTTGATAGATGTATGAAGAAGGGTTGCCAAGCTTACATGGTTTCTTCTCTATCCAAGCTGAGATTGATGAAGGCGTGAAGAATATCCCAATTGTCAAAGAATTTGCGGATGTATTTCCAGACGAAGTCTCCGGTTTACCCCCAAAGTGTGAGGTAGATTTCTCAATTAAATTGGTACCCGGTACAGGGCCAATTTCTAAGGCTCCTTATTGGATGTCCCCTTCAGAGTTAGTGGAACTGAAAAAGCAAATTGAAGAGCTACTTGAGAAGGGTTTCATCAGACCGAGTGTTTCACCTTGGGGATCTCCAGTCCTTTTTGTAGAGAAGAAGGACGGAAGCCTCCGATTTTGCATTGATTATAGACAATTGAACAAAGTAACCATCAAGAACAAATATCCACTTCCGAGAATCGATGATTTGCTGGATCAGCTTGTGGGATCTGTAGTTTTCTCAAAGATTGACTTAAGGTCAGGGTACCACCAATTGAAAGTGAGAGCAGAGGATATACCTAAGACAGCATTTCGGACGAGATATGGGCATTATGAATTCATGGTGATGCCGTTTGGACTTACGAATGCTCCTGCGGTATTCATGGATTACATGAATAGGATCTTTCGACCCTATTTAGATAAGTTTATAGTAGTGTTTATTGATGACATTCTTATTTATTCAAAGGATGAGGAGGCTCATGGTGAGCATTTAAGAATCGTCTTGCAAGTTTTGAAGGAACATAAGCTTTATGCCAAATTAAACAAGTGTGAATTTTGGCTCCAAGAAGTAAAGTTTTTGGGCCATGTTGTGTCCAGAGACAGAGTTGCGGTGGATCCTAGCAAGATTGATGCAGTGATGAAGTGGGAACAGCCAAAATCTGTTATAAAGATACGAAGCTTTCTAGGTTTAACAGGTTATTATCGTCGCTTTATTAAGAGATTTTTGCAAATTGTGATGCCCTTAACTAAGCTGACTAAGAAGGATGCCCCATTTATTTGGACTGACAAATGTGAAGCTGCTTTTCAAGAATTGAAAAAGAGGTTAACCACTACTCTAGTGTTGACTATTCCTGACCCTGTGGTGCCGTACACTCTGTACACTGATGCTTCTTTAAAGGGTTTAAGATGTGTTTTGATGCAAAATGACCGAGTGGTTGCCTATTCCTCCAGACAGTTGAGACCACACAAGGAAAATTACCCTACTCATGATTTGGAGTTAGCTGCAGTTGTGTTTGCTCTAAAGATATGGAGACACTACTTGTATGGATCTAAGTTTCAAATCTTCAGTGACCATAAGAGCCTGAAGTATTTATTTGATCAAAAAGAGCTTAATATGAGGTAGCGACGGTGGATGGAATTTCTGAAGGATTATGACTTTGAATTACATTACCATCCGGGTAAGGCTAACGTGGTAGCTGACGCCTTAAGTAGAAAGACTATTCATGCTGCACATTTGATGGTTCATGAATATCATTTGTGGAACAGTTTTCATGATGTTCCAGTAGAAGTGATTGAACATCAAATGGCCGCACTCCAGGTAGCAGACTTTGAGAGCAAATTCTGGGAAGATCTCAGAGTCTTACAGCAGAGTGATGACTACTTAAGGAATATAAGGAAGGAGATAATGGTAGGTAAGGCCCCAAATTTTACCATCTCTGAGGACACAGTGATGAGGTATAAAGGTAAAATTTGTGTACCTAATGATCCAAGATTGAGGAATATCCTTTTAGAAGAAGCTCATAGGAGCAAATATACAATTCATCCCGGTATAACTAAAATGTACCATGATTTGAAGCGAGGTTGGTGGTGGCCAGGAATGAAGAAAGATGTAACTGAATTTGTTTCTAGATGTTTAACGTGTCAGAAAATAAAGATAGAATATCAGAAGCCAGCTGGAACACTGCAACCGTTAGATATTCCAAAGTGAAAATGGGATGATATTTCCATGGATTTTATCACTGGACTGCCAAGAACACCCTCGAGTAAGGATGCTATTTAGGTGATAGTAGACCGACTCACCAAATCGGCTCACTTTTTGGCGATCAAGTTTACCTCTACACCATCTTTTACGTTGCCTCTTACTTTAGATTATACAATGTATCTTGTGCCAACTTAGGACATATCTTTTTTGTGAAGCATGTAAACTCTAATTCTTTTTATTAAAAGTATTTATATGACCAAGAGGATTATGTCTGTCCCTCTTGATTTATGATCTGATTTGAATATCATGACATGAGGATCCTGTCTGTCCCTCATGGTTCTAATTGCTTTTTGAGATATTTTAAGACCTGTAATATATTGTCTTGGATGTATCATGGTAGAAATTTTTCTACCATGATAAGGATATGATAAGGGTTCAATGAAAAAAAAAATAATTTGTTGAATTAATAATTTGCGAAAAATCAGTTTGTCAATTTGAGGGTGTTACACCGGCCCTTTTATTTTCGAGCCTAATTTAAGCCCAATTTACTTTTTTAAAGGTAAAATAAAAGTCCGGCCCTTAATTTTTTCAGGCCTAAAAGGGCCGGCCTTACAGGCTCAACCCTAATTGACGGCTCTAACTATCTCTTCATGTCACCAAAAAAAGAGACCGCTGAGTATATTTTCTTTTTTTTTTGGAAGATGATTCTTGATTTTGAAGAAACAAAGCACAAAAGTTTTGTTTTTGGGTCAAAGAACAAATCACAAAAGGTGAAGACCAAGTCTTTGGTACATAACGATTCAACGGAGCACATTTTTTTATGCATTTTCTTATTATTAAAAAGGGGGGTGTATAAGGTAAAAAATGTGTAGAGGGTATTAATTGATAATGGAATAAAAAATGGACAAAAACACACCAACCCAAGATTTTTTTTTTATTGGTGAGATATTATGAACAATTTAGGGAGAATAACACAAAAGGACCGTGGAAAGGAATTGATTGTTATAAAGCATCAAAAATTTTTAAAATTATACAAAAGGATCAATTTTTTTTTAAAAAAACAAGAAGTAAATGGACAAAAATGTCCTTACATCAATGACCCAGCTCAATTATAAATAACAAAAGATAAGTTGTAAATCACAAAGATTTAATTACAAATATTTAAAAATAAGTCGCAAATAGATTATAAAAAGTGAAAGCTCAGTTGTAACTTTTAAAAAATCAATTGTAAATATAGCGGAGGGTTAGCTGCAAGTAGCGCATAAATTATAGATGTTTTATAAATCTCAAAAGCTTAATTATAAAAACCATAAAACTCAATTTTAAAAGCCAAAGGATAAATTGGCTAAATTCTTTAATGATGCGTGTTTGGATACGCGATGATTGAGAATTGAGATGACGCATACCGATATCCATGAAATTTAATCCAAAAGATCACATGATAGCTCAGTTTTTGTTAACCAAAAAAGATGACATTGATATGCATGAAACTCACTGGTCTACCTAATTAATCAGCGTGATGTGAATTTTTCCCGGCAAATTGTGATGCTTGTTGCCTGTTTTCACTTTAATTACCAAATTTTGTATTTATACAGATTTTTAATATTGATATTTATTAAATTTTGTTGTCCCTCCATGCAACGAAGGGGAATTTTTTCCTTTTTCTTTTTAATTACATAGAGGGGGTATTTTCTAGTCGTGCCTAATTTTCCAATTGTCAGGCTCCCGGCTCATATATTGTTCTACATTCCATGTAATATGTCAGTTTCAAAACAGAATTTGACTTATTTAACAGTTGTTAATGATATTGAGAATTTCACAAAAGTGACTAACACCAAGTCGTCCATATATATTATTATTAATATCAATGTTCATGCATAACATTAAATTGTGGATAACACGACTAATTGTTGTTTATAATATTAACAGTTTTCGAAAGTCACATGTTAATCATTAAGTCCCCACTAATTCAAATCAAAATAGATTTTCTTTTTCAAGCCTGTTGGTGAAAAAAATAAAAAAAATATTCCTTTCATTAACAAATATAAAACATTTTTAATTGTATATCATATTTTAATAAAATAGTTACTTGTATTCAAATCAATCTTATTTTTTATACTTATTTTTATTTAATAAAATATTTTATTTTAAAATAAATATAAAATGATTCATTTAACAGAAATATTTTTATAAGAAAAACAATAATTATATCTTGATTAATTAAAATATTTTATATTTTTAAATATTTAATTTTTTTAAAAGAATATTATATATTTTTAAATAGTGGAAGTAGTTGGTAAAACACTTTTATCAAAATACTTTTTAAACTCATTAGCGAAGGCAAGGAGGGGGGGGGGGAGGCTTGCATGTTACAAGTAAAATCCAACTTGTAATCTTCCACTCGAGGAATATATAGATGCACACTTGGCTTTTAAAAATTATTTCTAAAACTTTTACGGACATAGCCTGAAAACATACCAACCCTCTATTTCAATTTTACTCTTATTTGAATAAATATTTTTTCATAATTAATAATGTGCTTTTGTGACTAATTTTATTTTTTAAGAAAAAAATTAAACTTAAAATTAATATTGTTTACAAAAAGTAGATTATAAATATAAAATCTATTGATATATCAAAAATCTTAATTTTTAAAAAGAAAAAAATGATAAAATTCAAAGTAACCATTCCATATTTATAAAGAAAAATTAATTATAGAATTGTATAAATTTAATTTATTTAGATGACTTTTTAAAAAAATATTTAAACATAAATCACGTGAAAGTCAGCAACCATTTTCCTAATTTCAGTTTATGATTTTAACTTCAGTTGCGGATTTTTGTAATCCTAACACACACTTAGGCTTGTGTTCTTATACTTTGCCATTTCATGTCACCAGGATCATGGCGTCTCAGGCGTGTCAACCTCTGTTATCCTCGTCTTCTCAATCCCACTCGCTCCATCACCTCGAAACAATATTATCAGACACCACGCTTCCCTTGTTCCAACGCCTCAGACTCGCCTTCTTCATCGAGTTCAACCTCCTCTTTCATCTCGCCGCTCCAGCCGTCTTCGTTTACATCGTCAACTACGCCATGTCCATGTCCACCCGCATCTTCTCCGGCCACCTGGGCAGTTCCGAGCTTGCCGCTGCCTCCCTCGGCAACGGTGGCATCCAACTCTTCGCCTATGGCCTCATGGTACGTACTGATCTTCTCCTTCTCAATTATTCTGTGTTTCCGAGCCCTTAATTATATTTACTGTTATTGTTATTGATTATTCTAACCGATCTCTTTGTGCGTACGTTGCATCAGTTGGGAATGGGAAGTGCAGTGGAAACACTGTGTGGGCAATCATTTGGAGCTCGCCAGTACGAGATGCTAGGCATCTACTTGCAACGAGCAAGCATCGTTCTGACTCTAGTTGGTCTGCTCGCATCCTTCTTGTACATTTTCGCCAAACCCATTTTGATCTTCCTGGGCGAGTCACCAAAAGTTGCTTCCGCGGCTGCAGTTTTCGTCCATGGCCTCATACCTCAGATCTTTGCCTATGCTATCAACTTCCCCGTTCAGAAATTCTTACAAGCACAAAGCGTGGTGTTTCCGAGTGCGGTTATATCCACAGCTACGCTAGTCGTACACCTTCTCTTAAATTGGCTTGTTGTGTACAGACTGGGGCTAGGCCTATTGGGGGCCTCCATGGTGTTAAGCTTGTCGTGGTGGATTATTGTGATTGCTCAATTTTTGTATATAGTGAAGAGTAATAGGTTCAGGCGCACTTGGGGTGGGTTTTCATTGCAAGCATTCTCCGGGTTGCCGGAGTTCTTCAAACTGTCGGCGGCGTCGGCAGTTATGTTATGCCTCGAGACATGGTACTTTCAGATTCTGGTCCTGTTGGCTGGCCTCCTTGAGAATCCTGAATTGGCTTTGGATTCACTTTCAATTTGGTAAGTCTTTTTCATTGATTTGCGCTTGATCATTGATTCAAGTTATTGTTATTCAAATTATTCTGCGAAAACTAACGTCAAACTATATCAAGACAGAGTGAACCGCTGGCATCGCACTCTAACAAATTATTCTCATTGTTAAAAGAGCTCTAAAATTTTTTTATAAGGTGGCTTTTCACGTCACCCCAGGCAAAGAGTTTGTGATCCCAAACTTAGATAATATGATTTGGTCATGCATATCGCGATATATAATTACAGAAATATTGGAGGTCATGTTATGGACGAGTTGTCTTATTCTCAACGGAGAGGTAATTTTTGTTTATATGCTTATGGAACGTTCTGAAAGAATCAATGCAGAGGTCCGACGATAAGGATCACAGGTCTAGGCACACTTTCATTTGATTCCAATATCCTATACCAAATTATTGTTTTAAAGGTCACCGTACCATTGAAAAATACAAACTGACAGACAAAAGAGCATCTGCAAGGATAAAATATGGAGTATTTTAAGTGATCTGAAAAGCCAGAGAAGAAAATAATTATATTAATCTTAGACATTGCTTTTTGAGTTTAAATTAAGATTTCCACACAAACACACACACACACTGCAGAAAGATATCTGCGGCTTAATTATTATCTGTATATCGCTAACTACTACCACCACTCGAATTAGAATCCTTTCATTCATGCATGACGATAATTTATCGCTGGAATTGATATAATTTACTGCGCATGCTAGAGAAAAATGAAGTGTGTGAATCAAGGGAAACCGAAAGGAGAAGCATGAATATGCTGCAGCTTACTTAGCTGCTTACTCTGATTTAAAACATCCAGGGAAATCAATGTTAGATTAGGTTCATATGAACGTAAGAGCTTAGCAGTGATACTTACTTTCAGAGACGAATTAACGAATGCAGCACAATGATATCTGGAGGGGTATTCATGATCTCAGTTGGATTCAATGCGGCCGCAAGGTGGGAACCCCAGAACCTCAACTCACATTCCCTTGCTTGACATAATTCCAAACTAAAAATGTTTGAAAAAAGAACTCATCAGTGAAGTGTATATACATCTGCATGCAGTGTGAGAGTGGGGAACGAAGTGGGAGCAGGACATCCCAAAGCTGCAGCGTTTGCAGTGGTGGTGGTGACGTTAATCTCATTCAGCATATCAGTGATCGCAGCAATAGTCGTGCTTGCACTGCGAGACGTCATCAGCTATGCCTTCACAGAAGGAGAAGCCGTGGCTGCTGCTGTCTCGGATCTTTGTCCCCTATTAGCCATTACCCTCCTTCTTAATGGAATTCAGCCTGTTCTTTCTGGTGATATATATATAGATATATCTCTGCGTCTTGTTCAATTGGTAGCATGTTATTAACATGCCAATCTAATTCCTGGCGAGAGTTTTATCGTGATATTTTTATAAGTGGAAACATGAAATAAAGATGGTGGTTATGGTTCATGAAGGAGTGGCTGTTGGTTGCGGATGGCAAGCTTTGGTGGCATACATCAACGTGGGATGTTACTACGTAGTTGGGATACCTCTTGGCCTTCTTCTTGGGTTTTGCTTCAACACTGGAGCCAAGGTACGTTCTCATATCGTTCTTTCTACATGTAATGATCTGTATCATTAGATGGAGGCATTCGAAACATGAATTGGACTTTGTTTTAAGAGAAATAAACGTAGAGGAATTGTTATACTATTATGCATTCGACCAGAGACATGAGATCCGGTGACCCTGTAATTTTGTGCAGGGAATATGGTCAGGAATGATCGGCGGCACAGTGTTGCAGACAGTCATTTTGATTTGGATCACTTTTCGTACTGATTGGAATGCGGAGGTACATGCCTCGCTCCCATGGTTATTTTCCCCGCTTTTCTATTATTTTTTAATAGTGCAATCAAATCAACCTGCTTCTTAATTTTCAAAGTTTAAATATTTATGTTTTCCATTTTTAAAAATCATTAAATATCCTTGAATTTGTATAATATACAAATTTAAACAAGGTAAATTCATCTGTCAAATTGTATGGAAGATGTTGCCTTCCCAATAGGCCAATATATGGTTTGAACAACAGCTTGGTTGAATTAAACAAAATCATACTCATCATTGATTTGATAATTTAAGAAAGGGGAATGGATTGAAATGAATGCAGGTGAAAGACGCAGAGGAAAGGCTGGGCAAGTGGAATGACCTGCCGGTTGAATAACTCCGAATCATTCAGAAGTGATAAGAAGCGCAAGTTGATAGCAACGCTATCTTTGGGTTGTCATCATAATAGATCATAGATTTCTATCTTCCTGGCCCATCCATGGAGAAACCCATATTTTCGCAATAATCATTTGATTCGATGGCATAATCCTTCCACCTTAATATAAGGTATCATGGACTCAACTCAAAAATAGGGGGGGATTATATTAGAGAGGGGTGTGTGAGGATTAACTAAGGGTGTTGTGTGATGTGTGTTGCATATGTGTAGAATCCTATTTCCTGTAGGCAAAGTTTTGATAGGTTTTAAATTGTAATTACTGTTTAATTATAAGAAGAAGAAGAAACCAAAAAAATTTTCTTCTCCCTTTCCTTCTTTTTGATGACGCAAGAAAGCTGATCGACCTTGCATCTGTGGCCTTCGTTATATTAAACAATTTACTCATCATCCATGCAACGCAAAATATATAATTTTTAATTTTTAATTTTAATACGAGCTTTAAAGCTTTTTTTTTTTGGATAAAAAAAATGTTAATAGAGCTTTCCATTTTCTTTGTTTTCTGGCCAATTGAGGAAGAACTTCATAACAAAACCGGACCACCTGACAGAAAAGGCCAAACCACCAGAAGAATATGGCATGACCAGTCAAACCAAAGGGACAATCAAAAAATACATCACTAAGGACATGTATATCTTATTTCACTGTGTTTATTTTTTCTAATTATAAAACTATTTACTATTTAGACATTTTTACCGACATTTTAAAACCAAAGTAAGGTTCTTTTTTTTTTTTTGTCAGAGCCAAAGTGAGGTTCTTATTGAGTGGTTCATGTGGAAATTAAAATATTGATACTCCCTTTATTTAAAAATATAAAATATTTTTAATCGAGTCTTACCCCTCAATAAGGTAGTTACTTGTTATTAAATTAATATTATTTTTTTATGTTTACCTTTATTTAATATAACGCTTCACTTTAAAATAAATAAAAAATAATTCATTTATTAGGAACACTTTTAAACAAATACAATGATTACACATTAAAATATTACAAATGTCTTACTCTTTTTAATAGAGAGGGTATAGATTATTCCATCTTATTTGTAAGTCACTTTCTAACTATTTTATCAAAATCAACTAGTGGCAGTTAAGTTATTTATATTGTCCAATTTTTTTTTTTCAACTTGGCCTTATTAAATGAATCATTTTTAAAAATAATTTCTCTCTCATGTAACTTTTTACTCTTTGCCCATCAAAAATTATAAAAGGATGAAATTAAAAAAAATATAATTAATTATTCACTTTTTAATGCAAAGTGATTAGTAAAAAAGATTATGGATTTCTTCTCAGACTCAAGAGTGTAGTATTGGAGTGCTGTCTCATATATTTACATGATTTAAAATAACCCATATCATTCGTGACATTGGAATCATGCTGCACACATCTTAGAAGTTGCATATGTAACACTCGGGTCTCAAAATTTTAATTTAATAATAATTAAGTTTTCAGAAAATTTGCTAAACATTAAGTTGTAATGGTTGCAGATATAAAAGTTGAAGTTGCTGATCAAGAACTAGTGATAGTTAAATATTACAACTTGCGATCAAGATTCTCATATTTGTAACTGCTTTAATTATTAATTAATTTCAACTTACTCCTTATTCTTTTTAACAAGTTTTGTTGGGACATAATTATCATTAAATTAAAATTATGAAATCTAATTGCCATTCTCACTGTTTTATAAGAGACGTGAGATGTAATTTATCGTAAATAAAAATTGAACTTGGCTTTACTCGGTTACTCTGTGCATATTTGCTGGTCCTGGATCTTTCTCCAAAGAAAGACCCTTCGTAAGTGTAAATGCCATGACAGGCTTTTATGAAAATAACTATAGGTAAGGACTAAGGTAACTGCTTTTTCCCTCGCTACAAATAACTTTTTTTAACGTTGGGAAAAAAAAAATCAAATGGCACAAGCAGGACCCTCCAATAGAGATATGGCCAGTATGGAGTTGTTAATTAATCTCAATGCCGTCGAGCCAGTCCTTTTAAATTTAAAAATAATTAAGGCTGACTTATTATTTTAAGATAGAAAATGATAATTTAGAAGCTTAAGAAAACTAATCATTTTAAATATATAAATAAAAGAGTTGATCTCTTAGGGCCAAAGCTAGCCCTTTTAAACCTTTTACTGTTATTTTTTTAATTTTTAATAAAAAATAAAAGGCAAAGTATCTAGTTGGAAAAAATGAAAACCCTAGATTCATTTATCTCTCCCTCCTTATTCATTTATCAAGATTTAATTGACAATGCTAGTATAGTCTAATTTTTGTTATTATTAATTTTAATGTTACTATTTAATATTAGATTTGAATGTTTAAGTTTTACACTTTTGTCATAGTGTGGATTGACCTAAATTTATTTTCCCAAACTTAATCTCATGTATAATAATTTTTTATATTATAAATATGTATTTTTAGGGTTTTAAATTGAACAAGAAAAACATAGGGCTGAAGTCCGCACGGCTAGCCATGAGAGTCATGGCCGAGTCTTGCAAAATAAAACCTTAAGATATAATTAGGTTTATCAAAACCAAACTGTTTTGGCCTTGACTCTTCAAAGACTAATTTTAATTGATAGCTCTACTATTCCAACGTCACCACTAAATTATTGGGAAAGAGTATTTTAGATAAACCATTTTTTTTGGTAAACTAGATAAACTAAATTTTATCTTTTACACTAAATGTAGAGAAAGACAAAATTATGAACAGTTCAAAGAATATTTTGTAGGAAAACATTATTTTTGGCCCTTACACTTTGCTTTGTATAGGTTCCTGCTCTTTTTTTGATGCTCCATGTCCTTACATTGTTCTCCACTTACAATGTTAGTCTTTACATTTTTAAAGGAATATTGACATGACACAAATAGTATTAATAGTGTTAACATGTCAATTAACGCTGTTAATTTTGTTTTTTAATTTTTTAATAAGCAGTTTAAAAAATATATATATCAAATGAAATAAAAGGCCTGACCTAAAATCTTTAATTTTTTTTCTTACTAAAAAATTCATGTCAACATCTCTATTTCATTTGGTGTAGACTTTTTTTTGAAAAAAAAAATTGCTTATTAAATTTATGTGAACATTAGTTTGACACATAAATACAAATTAATGGTGTTAATTAACATATCAGCATTATTAATGTCATTTGTGCCATGTCAGTGTCCTTTTAAAAATGTAGAGATTAACATTGTAGGTGGAAACAAGTACAAGGATTTGGAATATCGAAAAAAAAAATACAAGGAGCTATACTAAAACCTAAGTAAGGTGTAGGGATTAAAATAGTGTTTTTCATGTTTAGCCACCATTATTTACCAAGTCATGCTTACCAAATTTTCATACATAATATAAATATAATATTCTTTTGTCTTAATTTATAAGACACATTTAAATAAAAGTATGCATATTAATAAAACTTATTAAATACACTTTATAATTTATTTTGAAAGATATAAACTTTCAAAAATATCATTCATTCAATTTTTCATTTAGAAAGAGAAAATGTAATGTTAAGAGTAATTTTAAAAAAATATTGTTACTGAAATATTATTTTTATTAAAGTATCTTATATTTTATGATGTTGAATAGATCTTTTTCAAAAATATTTTATAATTTAGAAGAGAGAGAAATAGAATAAGTCTAGTTCCGGCAATGCTCATCACATCATGAACAATCTAGACCAACCTAATTTTTATAATCTAGATGATCTAGATTTATTAATTTTATTTTTATATTTATTAAATAATAATAAATTTATCCTATCATCAATCTAGATAATATAAGTTTAATTTAAATGATATAATTTAATATTAATTTTTTTTATTATTTTTATAATTAACTATCCAAATATTTTCTATACAGTATAGATTTAAAATTTTCAAGTTGCAAATTTTTTTAAAGTGCTAGTTTAAAAATTATTTTTATTTTTATTCTTTAATATTATATTTATTAAAATAAAATATTTATAAAAGTTCTAAAAAATTACTATGAAATTTAGACTTTTTATGATATATCTAGATAGTCGATTAATAAAAAATTAAATATTAAATTAAATTATTTAAATTAAATTTATATTGTATAAATTGATAATAAGATAGATTTATTCAAAAATTATAATTTTTCATAATAAATTTCAAATAAAATATAAAAATAAAATCTTAAAATTTAAACTGCAAAAATTTGAACGGTCAAGCTGCCCATCAATGAAACCAAAAGCATAATAGAATAGAATCCGTTTTAATATTTAATATTTTTGAGAGTAAAGTCGATAATTTGAGTTGGTTAGGTTTATTTGAGTTGAGTTCAATTCAGATTGAATTTATTTAGATCAGACTTAAAGTATCTTATCTTTTTTAAAAAGTTTATATAGCCAAACCTAGCCCTAATACTTTTCAGTTTTAGTTTTATTTGGACTGGCTCAAATATCCAAAATTTTTTTTAAATTTTTTTCTTTATTTTTAAATTAATTTTAATTTTTAAATAATTCTATTGAGTATAAAATATTATTTTAACCTTAAAAAAATAAAATAAAAATAACTTATCAAGTTTATATTTAAGTAGCTCGATTGCTGTTTTGTTATATTGTGTATAATTTATTTATGAATACATTCTTTACTTGTAAATTAGTGTCTTAATTATTTAAATATTTCTTTTATCATAGTCATATATAAATTTTTTATATATTCTAATTAAATTATATTATTTTAATTATGATCAAGTTTATTTTAATTCAATCACAGTTAGATTATTAATTTAAAATTATTGTCCTAATTTATTTAAAGTTTTTAATAACTTTTAAGTAAATAGTACTTTTTATTTTTATAAATGTAAAAAATAGACATCATTATATTATATAAAGCACAATTATTTAATTATGAATAAAATATTATTATTTTGGAATCATTTTTCTTTAACTTTTATATTATTTAACCTTTACATACAATAAATTTTTATTTTAATTTATTTTTAATTTTTAACTAAGTCTAGCATGCATAATAATTAATTAATTATTTAAAAATATTATTTTATTTATTACATTTATCTAATAGTATAATCAAGAATTTGTATGTGCCCAAATTTTACTTTTACTTTAAAATTAATTATTTTATTTTATAAAAAATATAAAATTAATTTTTTATATGCAAATGATGTATAAGATTCAAAATTTTATTTAAAAAAACAGGGTGTTAAAATATAAAAATTAATATTAAAATATATTTTAAATATTATTTTAAAATATTTTATTGATTGAAAATAATAAAGATATGACAATGTAAATTTTTTAATTTTTTAAAAATAACTATAATAATATACTCAAATATATAGTATTTTGATAAAAATTAAAAAAATTAATTAATATTTATTATATTTTATATATTTTTTAAAAAAATATTTTTAAATTTTAATATTTGGACTAAGTTTGAACTTGATCGGACTTGATTCAAATTTTTTTAAATTTATTCTGAACAAGCCTAAATATTAAAATATTAATTTTTTTTTTTTGAATTTCATCTTAAATTTTTTGAATTAGTCAGTGAAACTTAATTTAAATTATCGGCTTTATTTAAGAGTGACAAGTTGCAGATATACCAAACAATTGACGTCATTGATGGTCAAAAAGTGCAAAACATTCCAACTGCCTTTCCATTTGGAGCAATCAAAATAGGCTGCGATGACTAATTCATAACACTACCTACCACATCCACGGCGATTTACGATTTACTCTCTCGTATTTTTATTGAAAGAATATTTTTTATTAAAAAATATAAAATATTTTTAATTAAATTTTTTTCTTTAATAAAATAATTACTTCCTTTTTAACTAATCTTATCTTTTCATATTTATATTTATTAAATACCTTATAATAAATATAAAATTATTATCAATAAAAACACTTAAAAGAAAGATAATAATTATATTTTAAAATATTAAAAATATTTTATATTTTTAAATGGAAGGAGTAATAATTAACTCACTAATATTTTTGTTATAAAACACCCTCAATTAATTGACTTTAGTTAAAGAATGATAATTAATTTATCAAACATGTTTTAATGTTTTTTTAAACTTTTCTTGTTACGAATAGGAAAAGAGATATATAGATAGAATAAGTGATAAAATTAAATTTATAATTTAGAAAAATTGAAAAAATAATAATAAACGACTTTCCAATTATCTTATATTAAAGGTCAAAGGATTTATGTAAAAAATATTTATTCTATTTTAATTTATAAAGCACTTTTAAATAAAATTATATGTATCAATGAATCTTATTAAATATGTTTATAATTTTATTTTTTAAAATTAAAAATATAAAATCTTGAAAATATTTTTTATTTAATACTTAATTTGTGAAAAAATATTGAAGAAAAATAATATAATAAAAGTAAAATTAATAATTTTTTATTAAAGTATTTTATATTTTAAAATGTTAAATAAATATATTTTAAAAATAGGGTCGGGGTATTGATGAGGTCTGCAAAAATGATTTATAAAAGGGATTAAATGAGTACTTTTTTTATTTAAAAATATAAAGTATTTTTTAAGAATTAAATATTTAAAAATATAAGACATTTTAAATTTTGAGTCTTTTAAAGTGTAATCATTATTTTTTTAATATTACTTTTAAATAAATTACTTTATATTTTTTTCAAGATAAAATATTTTATTAAATAAAATTAAATATATAAAGATAAGATTAGTTGAAAGATAAGTAAATATTTTATTGATATAAAATTTAATTAAAAATATTTTATATTTTTTTTAAAGTAGGGAGTATTTTTACATACGAAACTCACGAGGCATCAATAATTAAAGGACCGCCGGCAGCTTAGGACTCGTGGCGGTCATATTCAATTTGGAAGTGATGATTAATACCTTTTAAACCCCTGATAATTATGAAAATGCCAAAAATGAATGATTGTGACCACAAAGTATTAATATTGCGCTCACCTACTCCAATTGAAATCCAACTACCATATATTATCTCTACTTTTAAATATGAATTAAATTATATATTTAATTTTTTAACTTCACATAACGATTTATTTTAATTTCTTATTTTTATAAAATATTTTTTAATCTGTTAATTTTATGCCAATAAATTTTTACATTAAATTTTTAAATATTAACAAATTATTTTTAAATATTAATGTATTGAGTTTAATTTTTTTAAAAATAATAATAATTGACACAAAAAATAATTATTTAATCCTAACAATATTAAGTTTAAAGGTTTTAAAAAATATTTTACAAAATTGAAGGATTAAATTAAAACCTTATATAAAATTAAAGGATTGAAAGTATACTTTAGTTTTAAATATAAAGCAAAATAATTAATTCATACAACTTTAAACAATTGATTAAGTATAATAATTATACTTGAAGTTAAAAAAATAGACTAGATTATCTCTATAATTAATGAAACAAATTTATTTAATGAAAATGGATACAATCTGCTTATGGTAAAACTTTATATGGGTTTGATGTACTTTTATCTTCAACAAATAGTCTAGCATTTAATGCGAGGTGAAGTACACGGTTGTCTAGTTGGTTAAATGCTATTAATCAAAATAGTAATTCTCTATTCTTAACAATAGGGCCTAGAGACTTCTTGGTTCGTCATGCTATTGCTCTTGGTTTACATACAACTACATTGATTTTAGTAAAAGGTGCTTTGGATGTGCATGTGGTTCCAATCTATCTTAACTCGTTTTTATAGTTTACACACTTTTGTATTACCTCTTCTTATTATTGTATTTATGTTAATTCACTTTCCAATGATATGTAAGCAAGGCATTTCTACCCAATAGCTATTCCATCCCTATTATCCATTGAACTTGCTCTAAACAATCTCCTTTTTGTTGGATTATTGCCAATGTAATCATAAAAGGCTAATTTTTTGATAATTTTAGACCAAGCTTCTGATAAACTTTGATTTTCGGCTAGCCCAGCAATAACTCTTTAATATATTTCTTGCTCTTGTGATATTTTGTACCCAAAGCAAACGCACTACCAAGTCGTGCTACATCCCTCTCAATTAGTTTATAGTGTCATTGTAAAGAATATTTATCTTGAAATTTATAATTTTAGTTATAAGTAAAAAAAAGACATACTGTATGATATTTCCTCTATCCCAGATTATAAAATAATTTGAGACTGGATTATATATACCAATAAAACACAATAACAACACTTTTACAAACTTGTTTTTTTAAATAAAATTATAAACTTTTAAAAATGTTCTTACACAATTAATTATTATACTATAATATCATTTTAATTCTTTCTCTACTTAAATAGTAATAGTAATATTATAAATGTATCATTAATTAAACTTTATTTTTTTTAAATTATCTTATATCTTAGGATAATAAAATATCTCCAGAATTATTTTACAATCTAAGATGAATAAAATAGTTATGATACCCTTGAGCCTCAGAGTAAATGGGTCTATTTGAAGTTATTTTTATTTTATTATTCTGAGAGCTAATATTTTATAAAACATGTTGTGAGAATAAAAAATAATAAAAATATTTTTTTATAATTTTTTATTTTCTAGAACAATAATTTCAAAACATCTGAAAGTTATTTTTATTTTTTATTCTTAAAATAATATTTTATTTTTTTGCTTTTTAAAACACTGTTTAAAAACAAGTTACTAAATAATTTTTTCTTTTATATTAATTTTTAAAATAAGTTGTCAAGTCCTATATCTTTCTTGCCGTACTGCATTACTCATTCAAAACCTGCGTTTAATCTTCCCCTCTGTCTGGTAAAAAAAAAAAATTCTTTCTCTCTGTAAAAATATTTGTTCTGCTTTCGCATCCCATACTTAAACGTCAGTATATTTCTTCCATTCAAAAGTTTAATTTTATTGCCTTGTTGAAGGTTGTATATTGTGTGTACACAATTCTTTTTAAAATTTTCCACTCTTCAGGCGCAGGATCCTCTTGCAAGAGACTGAAAGCAGAGAATGCACTGATTAAAGGAAATCATTGAAAAGGAAATGAAAAGGGCGAGAGAGGAAGGGGGGGGGGGATGGAGAGGGATTGTGACATGGTTTGATTTTTCGGTTTACATGAATTTTGCTCCCTATGTCATTCCATGGAATAGCATTTTACCAAATTTCGTTTCATCGAAATAAAAACAAGCGATCACACGTGTGAATACTCTTCAAAATTTCATCCGACAGCTTGTTCGTTGAAAGGGGGGAAAAAAGTAAGAAACAAACGAGGAAGCTTAATCAATCACTAATCAATCAAACTTTTATATATGCATTGTCTTCGCTTCTGCTGTGCTCTGGCGGTTTCAGGTTTTAGAGTAGGAGTTCTGTGGCTAACAGGGACATCCCTCGGTTCCCACACAGCTTCTATTCTTCCAAGTGTTTGTTTTGGTGGTCCCTCGCATACACACAACAGCCTCCTCCTCCTTCAAACAAACCAAAGTTTAAGGCTTTCGCATGGGTTCCGTGAACGACGATGTTCGTCAGCCGTTGTTGCCGCGTAGCGACCTTCCGACTTCGTCGGATCAATCTTTCACGTCCAAGCACCACTCTAATGCCGACCTCGAAAGAATCCTCTCCGATTCCACCGTCCCTTTCCGGCGCCGTCTCGGTCCCGCCACTTGGATCGAGTTCAAGCTCCTCTTCTACCTGGCCGCTCCGGCCGTCGTCGTCTATTTGATCAACTACGTCATGTCCATGTCCACCCAAATCTTTTCCGGCCACCTCGGCAACCTCGAGCTCGCCGCTGCTTCCCTTGGCAACACCGGCATCCAAATCTTTGCATATGGCCTCATGGTTCTCTTTTCCTCTCTGTTTTCATCATTCTGTTTCAAAAACCGTAAAAAAGAAAGAACTTTGCCGTGTCTGTGATTGATATACTGTTGTTTCTACACTAAACATACAAAATAATGGGGCACGATTTGGGGGATGAATGGTGAGGTCAACTCTTGATTAACTGGTGATTTTGATGATCTGATGAACAGCTGGGCATGGGAAGCGCCGTGGAGACGCTGTGCGGACAAGCTTACGGTGCCGGTAAGTACGAAATGTTAGGAGTTTACTTGCAGAGATCGACAATCCTGCTCACGTTAACAGGAATACTGTTGACCGTCGTGTACGTCTTCTCCGAACCCATTCTGATATTACTGGGAGAATCGCGGAGGATTGCTTCCGCTGCTGCAGTCTTCGTGTATGGCCTGATCCCTCAAATCTTCGCTTACGCTGTGAACTTCCCCATACAGAAATTCCTTCAAGCTCAGAGCATAGTGGCACCGAGCGCGTACATATCAGGAGGCACCCTTGTGATTCACCTGGTGTTGAGCTGGGTTCTTGTGTACAAGGCTGGGCTGGGATTGTTGGGGGCGTCGTTGACGTTGAGTTTGTCGTGGTGGATTATTGTGATAGCACAGTTTGTGTATATTGTGAAGAGCGAAAGGTGTAAGTACACGTGGCAAGGGTTCACGACGCAAGCATTTTCGGGGTTGCCGGAGTTCTTCAAGTTATCGGCGGCGTCCGCGGTGATGTTATGCCTGGAGACCTGGTACTTCCAGATTCTGGTTTTGCTGGCGGGTTTGCTCCCTGATCCTGAAATTGCCCTCGATTCCCTCTCCATCTGGTGAGTGATTCCTTTCTTCCCCACTTCTGCATCCATCCGTCTCACCATCCGATTATTTGAAGTGATGAAGATTACAGATTAATTTCGTTTTTCTTCATCAAGCTTGGTCGTCTCCTTCCCCTCATGTTTTTGACTCCACTGATTTAAATTTTTTAATTAACCAACATTTTTTTACAATGTGTTAGATTTGACTATCTAGCTCAAATTGAAGCGTCGATAAATCAAATCATCAAGCAAATCCTATAAACATTTTTTTTTTAAAAAAAAGAGGTAAACAAGTCCATGTCAGTTTTTTTTTTTTTAATCCCATCAAATATTTCCCCACACGGAAGAGATTCTGCCCATGCATCACACACAATGCACATGGTAGGTACATGTTAAGCCATTTAGAAGTTGATCTTAAACCCCTTTCACCAAGGGGGAGATCATGCCTTGCCATTTCAGCTATAATTGATTGGCAAATGATATAATACTAATTAATACAAACGTGTGTGTGATTCTGAAATAATAAATTTAAATATCGATATATTATCTGCCAAAAATGATCAAATTACGCTTTTTTCCTCCATCTTTTATTTTTAATGCTTTGAATTTTGATTTGATATGCTTAAATGGTATTTGAGCTCCTATAACATGACTCAGGGTCCAAGCCTTCAATTGGTATGGGAGGAATATAAAGAGAAGAGTAAATTGAGGGAGAAAAGTAAAGAAAAAGACATTCTCTTCTCCTAACATACAGTTTTTCTTTTTAGTTTTCTCCCTTTTAATAAAAAATTAGAAAAAAAAAACTAAAAGAATATATTTTTCTCTCCTTCCTAATTTTTTCTCATCCAAAGCAATGCCTGAGAACAACTATTTCCTCCCTTCGTTCCAGTTTTTAGATTTCTTGTGTCTTTATTTATAAGGCTTATCGGCTATTGCTATGTTTTAAGTGCAATTAAAATGTTTTCACTGGAATATCCCTTATAAAGAATCAAAATTACCTATTTTGTTTAGCAAAGATGCAATTTTTTATGGTGGCTTTTGATTGTGGGTAGAACCAAAAGGATTAGACAAAAATTTAATTAGAGACAGGAGGGAGTATTTTTTCCTCCAATGGTTTTCTGGGTCAAATTGGGATGTTCAATAGGGAGAAAGATCCAAATTTACTACTACTTGATAGCCTTCATTCTTTAGAGCACAAATTTCCTGTCATTTCTACATTCTTCGTACGTTTTCTTTGTTGACCTTTAGCGGAACCCAATTCAAAATTGGACTCTTGTTGATATTACCTGTGGCGGCCGTTAACTGCGTCAGGATCATATCCACAAACCCCATTCTTGGCCGTTTCCACTTCCCATTATTTTCCTTCCAATTTAATGAAAATGAACCTTCACCTATATTATTTTCTCTGCCCTCTCCAACATCAAAAGTCTTTCTCTATCTTTACTTGCCAGTTCCGCTGTTCACACACGTACCATTTCAACAAAAAGACACGTACCCCATGAAGTCCAGGTGTAGATTCATTCAGCTCGAACACTTAATGTCAAAAGACAAGGAAAATTAATGTCTTCTCCATGGGGGCCACCAAAATGATCTCTGTCTTTGTTTTCTTTGTTTGGGGTCGCCACGGATTAACAAGTTGACAGCTGAAACTGTTGTTTGCTGCCCTGCCAGCCAGGCTTGACAAGTTTTAATAAATTTGTTCCTTGGGTTTCTGAGTGCAGCACCACAATATCCGGATGGGTGTTCATGATATCTGTTGGATTCAACGCAGCTGCAAGGTTAGTGTTTTAGAAGTTAACGAAGTCTTTGGAAATTTCCCTCTCGTTCGGCAAGTTTGATTATATATGATGATAATGAGTGAGTGTTGGGGCGAGAACGATGCAGTGTGAGAGTGAGCAACGAGCTGGGAGCAAGACATCCAAAATCAGCAGCATTCTCTGTGGTGGTGGTGACGATCCTATCGTTCATCATATCTGTTATTGTGGCGGTGGCCGTGCTCATTTTACGCGACGTGATCAGCTATGCCTTCACAGAAGGTGAAATCGTTGCCGCTGCTGTCTCTGATCTTTGCCCTCTCCTCGCACTTTCTATCGTCATCAACGGCATTCAGCCTGTTCTGTCAGGTAACTTGTTTCACTTCAATTCTCCAGATCACTTGCGCTTCGGTTACGCACGAGTCTCCTGTTTAGAAACTAATGCAAGTGCAAAATTTGGCTGTGCAAACGCATAATAAAGGTGTGGCTGTTGGTTGTGGATGGCAAGCTTTTGTTGCATATGTAAACGTGGGCAGTTATTATGGAGTTGGCATACCATTAGGTTGCATCATGGGTTTTGTCTTCAAGCTCGGTGCCAGGGTATGTTAGGTTTTGTTCACTCCAATGCTTTTGTGGGGAAATCTGTCGGGTTTTTGCTTGTATTCAGTGATTGGTATTGTGCTAATTGAAACTGGGGGGCCTGTGAACAGGGAATATGGGTGGGAATGCTGGGTGGCACGATCATCCAAACAATCATTTTGCTTTGGATCACACTTAAGACGGACTGGAATAAAGAGGTAACAGAGTGGCTAGGGTCCTCTGATGTTTTGGGAGCCTGTGAGGGTCACCGTCTTATGGAATTTTTGTGAAATTGCAGGTTGAGGAAGCGGTGAAGAGGTTGAACAAGTGGGAGGGCAAGGAGGGACCACTTCAAAAGAATTGAAATACGCTGCGTTAGTCCATTCAAGACGGCCTTCCTCCCATCTTTAATTTTTCGCTCCATCCAATATTTGTATGGAGAGACGCCTTTTTTTCTTTAAAAAAAAAAATTAATAAAAGGATGATTCAATCACTCCACTAAGATTACAATACAGTTGCATCAAACTGCACTTTTCTTTCCCCTTCCTCAATAATCAGTAGCGCCACTGTAGGGCGATGCCCTTGATAACAACGTGGCCTTCCACAATACGCGCACTCTGGTTCTTGGCTTAAAATTACAATTGCTACCCATTGAAATTCTCTGTATACATATATGTACTGATTGGCTGGTACTGTGTCTAAATGCGACTGAAAAAATGAGAGTTATGGTAGACCTCTTGATTGTAGGAAACTCTTGAATTGACATTCGTTTAATGGTCATGTTGATCAGGCTAGCCATCCGTACGTAATTTATCAAGGCTTTGCACTGAATGGATATTGATTAAGAACTAATAGCGCGGCCGATTTTTTTTTTTTTTTCCACAATGGACGCGTCATCCCTGGTTTTCTTTTCAACATAATTGCTTCCAGGGATTAAATGAAGACAACGAGCACGAGTTTGATGGATTTGGAGCACGAAAAGGAGGAATTGTTCAAGAGAATTAGGTGCCTGAAAAGCTCCGCAAGTTTGCATTTTAAAACTTCCCATAGAGCTAAAACGGACTCTTTCTCCTCCCTTGCTATAAAACATTGGGGGTATCCAATATTCATGGGCCTACAAAAGCCCGGATCTTTTGTCCCTTCCACTAATGGTGAGGAAGAAAAAAAAAAAAAAAAAGAACACCTGTGTTCAGTTTGGAATTGGAGAGCTGGTTCTATTTCGGACAAAGTAGATTAGGCGTCGTCATAAACGCATAATCAAAAGAGGGGAGGAAAGGATGAGCAAAAGATTACCTTTGTCTCAAACCACCATTATCATATCAATAAAGCTCCTTTAGCAAGTTCCTTCAAATAATGAACTTCACCTTTCTTCGTGATGCCTTTTTTTCCCATCAATGTCAACGTCCTATTTGCTTGTTTTTCCTATTTTAACACTTTAACCCAACCATTAATATTTGCACTGCAGATTTTAGATATCCCATAAATTTGTTATTACATGCCCATGAACATAATCAGCTGTTAATTGTTATACTGTTAAATATTTGTACTACTATTCACTATTTACTATATATCAATAATCAATATGAATATAAAGCACCGGAATCAAATTATTGAATTTATAAATGACTCTTTTGGTGTGAAATTAAATGCCTGATGGATCCAACTCTAAGCCATTAAAAAAGATAAATAATAGTACTGTTTTTGTTTTAAATTATAAGTCATTTTTAAATAAAATTTTATATATTAATAAAGTTCGTTAACTACACTTTATAATTTTATTTTTTTAAAATAAAAATATAAAATTTTAAAAATATTTTTAATTTAATATTTTATTGATAAAAGAACATTGAAGAGAAAAAATATAAAAAAAATATTATTAAAAAAATATTATTAATAAAATTTTATTTTTACTGATCGATTTTATATTTTAATATTAAATTATTTTTAAAAGTGTTTTATAATTTGAAGTGAGAAGAGTATAAATGAGAATGCAAGCAGGATGAACAGTCCAAAGTGATTTTGTGGCGGTGGGTCACGTGCAGACGAGACCACACATTAAGGGACCATGCACTCACATAAGAAGCCGTGGCTGCAAGTGTCTGTCTTATTTTTTAACGATTAATATTTATGTTAGCTAGATTTCTTTTTACGTAATTATCGGAATCTAAATCTAAAGTGGAATTAAAGCGGATTGTCCAAAATAAATTAAGTGGAATCGCAGTTTTAAAGCAGCCAACTTTATTGCGCGCCATGCGTGTCACAGAATATGACGTTTCAAAGTACGCGCTCGTTGCGCCAATTCGACACTATTTGGAGCTGGATCGTCAGAATTATTTTTTAATCATCAGCAATCTTAGTTTCATACTCTGGAAGATTACCCTGCTAGGAACATGGACTTTTATAGGGCAGCAATATGCTGATTTCCTGCCCAATCAATGCATTTCAATTCTCCCCTAAAAACTAAAATGGCAAGATGAGTATTTTCACAGAATCATAAATCATACTCCCTCTATTTTTATATATAAAAAAATTATATTATATAATTTAAAAAATTTGATTAATTATAATAATTATATTTAAAAATAAAAAAGTGAATCAAAATATCCTGTGTTAATTAACATAACTATATATTAATTATTTTTTATTAATATAAATTATGAAAGATAATTTAAAAAATATATAATAAATATTTATTAAAATGAATGATTTTATTTATAAAAAAATATAAGTAATAATTCCTCTAATAATAAAAATATGGAAGGAGTGTATAAAGAATGAATAATATATGTACAAAGAATCCATTCATACAGCTTTAGTTTTTTTTTTTTTTTTTTTTGCCAACAACTTTATACTGGAAGATGGATTATCTTCTGCGAAAGCCGAGGGAGAGCCAGCGACAAATAAAAAGGAAAAAAAAAAAAAAGAAAAAAAGATGGATAATCTTTAACCCCAAGATCGTCCAAAGCGAGTCAAGCCGAGTTTCTGTGCCCTCCTCAGTTTTTTCCCGTAACCTCCAGTTTTAGATAACGCGGGTCGGGTAGCGGGAGGTCGAATTGGAGTTTCGAGTCATTAGGACGGCTACCGTCCACGTCAACGAAATTGGACTTTGAAATCGTTGTCAACTTTGCTCTCTGTTTCCTTCTTTTACCCCTGAATTGAATGGACTCGAGCACTCTGACCGGACTGCGACGCATCGATTCTCTGTTTCTTGCCAAATCTTAACCACCGAAGGCACCGTGAGATTCTTAATTCCACATTGTGGGCATGTTTCTTTTTCAAATGCGTTTCATTCATAGGCGTCACGTCTTCCCTGATTTTACGCTATACTCACCAAGGAGATGCTCCACTTCTTGATGTCTTGGCCCTGTTTTCTTTTCTTCTTCTTCTTCTTCTTCTTCTTTGTTTTCCCTCGGCTGCCTCTTGTAAGACCAATATTATTATAGTTTCCTTCACATCATGAAGTATGGGTTCGGAGCTGCTGAGCTTCTTTAATTATGTATTAGCTGCCAGGGCATGAGTTCTGGGTTTGCTCATGTGAGTACCGACAAAACGAAATTCGCTGCACAGCTTACGATTGACGGGTGAATTGAAGCTGGTCAAGAATGAAACACTTTATAGCTGTGCCTGGAATAATTTGGATTTGGATAATCCTTTGCGGTCTTGCTCGTTGCCAAAAGCCAGCATCTGTGAATATTGGTGCGGTTTTCACATTTGATTCGGTTATAGGTAGAGCTGCGAAGGTGGCGATGCACATGGCTGTCGATGACGTCAATGCAGACCCCATAGTTCTTAATGGGACGAAACTGAACTTGGTAATGGAGGACACCAATTGCAACGTCTTCTTGGGATCGATTGGAGGTATTGAGAATCATCCCTGCTGAAACTTAATAATTCAAAGACAGCTTTTCTAGTCTATGACATAAGTTATTCGAAATAGGATGTGTGACATTTCATCGCAGAGTAAATATTTAAAATTAAAGGGTGCAACTTTAATTGATGTAATGGAATTTCCTTTCGGTTATCTCTGGTTTTCTGCAGAAAAGGTTAGGTTCTTGGTCAATATCAAAATTTTCTCGTACTGTAAGCTATAGCAATTTCCTTTTTGATATCTTTATCTTTGTCTCTTTTAATTTCTTGCAGCAACTTATCACCTAGACAAGTGACACTTCTCGTTAAACTTTCAGTATGCTGCACTTCCTACTAAACAATCATCATTTTATGGCGCTGCTGACTGGATATCTAAGTTGTCAAATTTAACTCGGGAGTTTTTGTAGCTGTAGTTTAAACTTATCTAAACTGAGCCTTCTCTTTGTACAGCGTTTCGTATACTTGAACAAGGGGTTGCAGCCATAATTGGTCCACAATCATCTTCCATCTCTCACGTGATTTCTCAAATCGCTAACGGTCTCCAAGTGCCTCAAGTTTCATATGCTGCCACTGATCCTACCTTGTCGGCCCTCCAATTTCCTTTCTTTTTTCGTTCTGTACCAAGCGACTCTGTGCAAATGACAGCACTGGCTGAATTAATTGATTTCTTTGGATGGAGAGAGGTCATTGCCGTCTTCTTGGATGATGATTATGGGAGAAATGGAATATCTGCTCTGGGTGATGAACTTGAAAAACGGAGAATAAGGATTGCTCATAAGTTGCCTATTAGCATAAAGTTTGATATGAATGAAATCACTAACTTGCTCAATCATTCCAAAGTGTTTGGTCCTCGTGTGTATGTTGTTCACGTCAACCTAGATCCTAGATTAAGAGTTTTTAACATAGCCCACAAACTTAAAATGATGTCTAGTGATTTTGTTTGGCTTGCCACGGATTGGCTCTCTGCTACTCTAGATTCATTCTCCCCACAGAATCAGACCTCTCTCAGTGTTGTGCAAGGGGTGGTTGGACTACGTCCACACATTCCAGATTCTTTCCAGAAAAGATATTTTGTTTCTCAGTGGAAAAACATGCAGAATGAAAGCGCAGCAGCTATTGGGTTAAACCATTATGGATTTTATGCATATGATTCAATTTGGGCTGTTGCGCATTCAATTGATAAGTTTATTGAAATACATAAGAATATTACATTCTCTGTCAGTAATAACTCAAGGCTATTGAATACAGAAACCACTGACATACGGCTTGAAAAACTCAAAGTCTTCACAGGTGGATCTGATCTGATCAACATATTGTTGCAATCAAATTATACTGGTGTGAGTGGTCACCTTCAATTTAGTCCAGATAGGAATATTGTTAGTGGGGGCTATGAAGTTATCAATATCAATCAGATGGAAATTACCACGGTTGGATATTGGTCTAATGATTTAGGATTTTCAGTGGTTCCTCCTGAAACTCTTAAGAAGAAAGGATATGGTAGGGTTCCCCAAGATCAGAAGCTTAACATTATTACTTGGCCAGGTGGAATGACCGGAAGACCACGTGGATGGGTGATTGCTGATAATGCAAGACCACTGAGAATTGGAGTTCCCAGGAGAGCAAGTTTTGTTGAGTTCGTCACTGAGCTGCCTGGTAGTCATCAAATTCAAGGGTACTGCATTGATATTTTCAAGAAAGCACTGGAGTTTGTACCATATGAAGTCCCCTATGTATTTAAGCCTTTTGGGAACGGTCAATCAAACCCCAATTATGGTGCGCTTGTGCAGACGGTTGCTGACAATGTAAGAAATGCTATAATTTAGGAAGTCTGGAATTTGTTAATCTGTTTGTATTTCATGAAAGTGATGATTTAATGAGTTATCAGACAGACTCTGTCTCAAGAACTCTGGTGCTTGATAGTGGAAAAAGAGCAGATGGATGACTAGTTATATTCTGTGTGATGCTTCCTTAATGGTTCATAAACATAAAAGGTCTATGAAAGTGGAGAAATGCTGAAGATTGTTGGGTGGAGAAATGTTGAAGGCATATGTATAGGGTAAAGTGTGAGGGGAGAAGGAGCCAGAAAAGGATTAAAAATGCAATTGCTTGCAACATTGTGCCCATATGCTTTTTGTTTTCAATGCTGTAGCGTTTATTATATGATTATTCTCAATATAAAATCACTCATTTAGTTCATTGATTTTGGAAGGCAGATTTAATATCTATTGGCTGTTAGAATGTTGGGTATTTTTGAGCTTGCTTATGATAAAATATCTGTTTCAGGTATTTGATGCGGTTGTCGGAGACATAGCAATTGTGACAAACCGTACAAGGATTGTGGATTTTTCTCAGCCTTTCACATCAACTGGTCTTGTTATAGTGGCTCCAATCAAGAATGCAAAATCAAGTGCTTGGGTATTTCTGAAACCATTTACAGCGGACATGTGGTGCGTCACTGCAGCTTCATTTGTAATGATTGGAGTAGTTATATGGATTCTTGAACACCGAATCAATGATGATTTCCGTGGTCCTCCTAAGAGGCAACTTGTGACGATGTGTATGTAAGTCTTATGAACTGCTATTACAAGTTTTCAATTCTCACCGGCAGATTAATTATTGGGATTTCATTACTTTCTGCGAGTTCATTTTGAAAAATGATATTGTTGGAGATGACCCGATATTTATCCAGTGCTGTAGATTCTAACTCTATGCTGTCATTTGTTTGACAGGTTCAGCCTCTCAACCCTGTTTAAGACAAATCGTAAGTATACTTTTGGCTTTTAAATCTGTTAGTTTCTTTTTTATCATTTTCTTTCACGGAGTTCTCATGTAGTTTCCTGTCTTTCAAGCTCATTTCTTCGATCAATGATATATAGTCATATTGTGAATGTGATAGGAAAAATAGAATGGTTATGAAATTTTAGACTGCCTCCTTTTTGGCGGTGAAATCATAAGGTTTCTGGGTTCTGCATTTTCTTCTACTTGACAAAAATTTCACCTTTTCATTTGTTCAGAGGAAAATACAGTAAGCTCACTTAGTCGAATGGTGATGATAGTATGGCTTTTTCTGTTGATGGTGATCACGGCTAGCTATACAGCAAGCTTGACTTCAATTCTTACAGTGGAGCAGCTTTCATCACCCATCACTGGCATTGATAGCTTGATTGCAAGTAACTGGCCTATAGGGTACCAAGTAGGTTCGTATGCTTTCAACTATCTGACAGAGAGTCTTTATGTACAAAGATCAAGACTTGTTCCTCTAGGTAACCCTGAAGAATATGCAAGAGCTCTGCAGCTAGGGCCTTCTCGCGGAGGGGTGGCAGCTATAATTGACGAGCTTCCATACATAGAGTTGTTTCTGTCAACACAAACTGATTTTGGTATTATTGGGCAACCATTTACCAAAAGCAGTTGGGGATTTGTAAGTAGCCTTCTGATCAGAATATTACAGAAGTGATTAAAGATCAGCATACACATTGTAATGCCTGACATGAAAAAAGGTGATTTAGAACGGGAGGAGGGTCTCTCCTTTTCCATCACTTCTTAAATCTTCACCATCCATTATCATTTTATTAAATAATTTTTTTAAATTATGGAATGAATGAAGGGTAAGGATTAGGGAAGTGGAGGAAAAAGGAGATAAAGAAAAAGGAGAGAATCCTCTTCTATTTAGAATTCCCCAGAATATATATGCTAAAATCAGTGTGCTCGTTTCTTTTAACTGGGCAAAAAAAGTATTTTGTCTAAAAGGAAAATTTTGAACATGAAACATTTTCTCCTATATTTTAAAGCTAATGCTTAGTTTCGTGGCATGCATCAACTGTGAACTATGATAGCATTGCTTGACATGGGGGGCAGTTCTGCTGTTAGTACAATTCAAAACTGCAGTTTTGTCCTTCAGTTTTTGACAATGGACATAATGAAGCATGTTTGGGAACTTCATTTTATGTCATACGCTACAAATTTTCTTGAAATTTTCTGACATATTCTTGCGACAACATATCTCAGGCTTTTCAAAGAGGGTCTCCTCTCGCCCTTGATATGTCTACAGCAATTCTGAAACTCAATGAGAACGGAGAGCTTCATAAGATACGAGAGCAGTGGCTCTGTAAGATGGGTTGTCCTGAAGAAAGGAGAAGAGATTCAGAGCCTAATCAACTTCACCTGATCAGCTTCTGGGGTCTGTATCTGTCGTGCGGTATTGTCACTCTCGCTTCTCTGCTGGTGTTTCTGCTGCGAACAATTCGCCAATACATCCGATACAAGCAAAGGCAAAAAGATATTCCTTCTGGATCCCGGGAGGGATCTGGCAGTAAATGTTCCCACGTTATCTATAGCTTTTTTAGTTTCATTGATGAGAAGGAAGAAGCCATCAAGAAGATGTTCACTCGTTGTGAGAATCCAGAACAGCAGCCGACGTGATTATGATTGTGTTGCTTGAACGGATAATACTTTATAGCACGATAAGGTCTGTGTATAGTTAATAGAAGTTAGTAATAGTACTTGTAATTGTATCCTCCTTGTAGAGTTGTAGTTTTTCTTTGTAACTGTTAATGATGCGGCTGTAAACGCGGAACCTACATGTTGGATGGGAAAAAAAGTGACGTCATGGATAAACATGTTCAATTGAAGACCTTGATTGTGGACGCTCTCTCGCCTATTGTTGGGTCGGGTCAAAGGCCCAAGGCTTTAGCTAGGACGACGAAGACGCGTACGCATTCGGAGGAGTGTTTCAGGCTCCGCCAGCCGTTTCAATCTTCAACGTGAAAAACGTTGTCCGCGTACGCATTTGGAGGAGTGTTTCAGGCCCCACCAAACGAATCCACATTTCTACTTTTAGGGCAAAACTTCGGTCCACCCATTGCCTCCAGACAAGATTAATATTTTAATTTGCTATACTTTCCAGTGAACCAAATTATCCTTTCGGAGATTCATTTGAGAGTACAATTAATATTTTTTAATTTATTTGATGTCAATGAAAATTCTTTACCACATGACATGTACTCTTTCCATTAAAAAATTTATACCTCCTAAAAAAATAGCAAGTTGTTTTCAAATGAGCGACATCTTTTTATTTTTATTTTTATTTAATAAGATATTTTAATTTAAAATGAATATAAATTAATTTATTTATTAGATATATTTTTAAAAAAAGTATGTTAATTACACCTTAAAATATTAAAATATTTCATAATTCATAACATTTAAATTTTTAAAAAATATTTTATATTTTTTGAACAGACAAAGGATTTGTTAAAAATTATCTAAACCTATTCTCTAAAATATAATATTAAAATTAAAAGAATTGATGGCACGTTAAAGTTAAAAGAACATTTTTTAAAATACACTATATATCGAAATAATTTTAAAAACCGGGCATAGTATGTTTTTAACAAAAATATATGGTTTGTCTAAATTTTAATGAGTTAATATATTTTACTTTTTTTAATATTAATTTGATCTAACAAGCCCTTCTTTAAAGTAAGATTAAAATAAATGCCTAGATTTGAGTTTCCATTCCCAAGGGTAGGTTAAAGGTTAGCCTTTGCGAGGTGGTTATATTATTTATAACGTATGAATGTAAAATAATTCAACTTATTATATTATTTTATTGTATAAGTTCATATAGATGGTGTTAACATTAAATGCAAGTTAGAACTACTTTTTGCAGCCGTTATACGATATATTTTTAGATTGTGCCAGGAAATTCTCGGAATTTTTTAAGCTGTAGCGATTTTTTTTTTTTGGGAATATTTAGAAGTGATTATATTACTGGAATAACTATACGACATTGTAAACAACTATACAACAGTGATATATAAAAAATATCTTGATAAATTTATATTGTAAGCAAAACATATTATTTTCAAATTAACATTCCACCAATTTTTTTTAATTAAATTGTTAAGGTGAATGAAAGGCTTGGCAAGAGACAGATAAGCATAAATAAAAAAAGTTAACCATGCCACTTTTTGAGGCAAGGAGTTAGAATGATATAGTGATTAAAATATGGTAAGTTGATTGATTAATACTGTAAGGCGGTCGTGAGAATGTGTTGAGACTGGTATACGAAGTGATGAGTGATTTGATTAATGCATTAACAAATGAAGTAGCCCTTATTCCGAAGCCCAAATGCTAGCGAGAAGCATAACTGAAGTAAATAAATAAATAAGTTGATTGTAAGATATTGAAACAGAATGGAAGACAAAGAACAAAGCTTCAAAAGATGAAAGATGCCCCCACTTGAAAGCAAATGGTTAGAGTTTGAGTTACGCAGCTCAACATACCCACATCTTATGACTATTTGAACATTCATTCTTAAGTATCATAATTAAAAATATTTATTTTTTTGTTAAATCTAAATAATTCTACATTATTAAATTTCCGAGAGAGTGTAGCTTATGAAAAAAACTGCTCGTTTTATCTCCTTTTCGAGGAAATATGAATATCAATGTCAGCGTGAAGAATGAAGACATCAACATTGATCGAGGAGCGAGACAGTAATAAATTTGTCATTACTTATCAGACATGAATTCAAATATTAAAAAAAAAATCTTTTGGGTCTAAAAATAAGAATGACAAAATCCTGCCAACGTATTCGCTAGAGTGCCTAGGCTGTAAATCAAAGCCATGAGGTCAAAGCTCAAGCTCACCCAAACAAAAATATTCTTACAAAGCCAAGCATGGAAGTCACGTAAGATACTTCTTTTTCCTTTTCTTTTTTTGGTGTTCTTCACCGGAAAAATATTTTGAAACTGCCCTATCAATATCTTGGATGGATAAATATTTCTCATACTCATAATTATAAATTTGTAATTTCTTGCTCGACGTGGAAAGTGAAGGAAATGTCAGGGAAGGCCCTTTTTTCTGCTTCTGAGTTACCAGAGAGAACATTGCTTTTGCCAGTGCCAACTGAGATCCCATTACAATGATGTGTGTAATATTCCTAATTTTCCCCCTAATGTTAACACTATTTTCTTAACCTAATTAAATCAAAAATATTTTATTATACATATAAAGAAGACAATAAATCAAACTTCCTAACACTTGATGTTTGCAAAGCTTCAGCCAATTATTGCTTGCATAAAAACCGATTATTCTTCTTCTTTTTTTTTGGAATTTGAACAATGGCAACAATTAATCAATATTGGATATTAATGATTTTTTAAAATTTTATTTAAAAAATTATTTATTTCTTTAAATAAATAAACTATTTATGTCAATGTTGCATGGACATACTCGAATATATAGTCGATTCTAGCGTCACACATATCAGAAATGAGATTCAAATATAACAAAAACTCATGGCTCGTATCTGGTTCGTACCAACGTAACGTGATTTGAAATATAAAGGAAAACTAAAGTAAGAAACAATCATTTTCATATTCTTAAAGTAAAGTAACTAGTTTTTATCTACATTTAGATTTGATGATTGTACTTAATATATGCATTTTGAATTCAATAATTGTATTTAATACCATCTGAATTGTTAAAATTTAGATCAATAGTTATAAATTTATATTCTATTTGATATTAATAAATTAATAAGTTCATTTATATCATTGATTTAAATTTTAATAATTCAAATAGTATAAGCATTTAATGCCTATATTGAATATAATTATTAAATCCAAATTCTATTTGTCTTCTTTGTTCATAAGATTGAGAAGGACCATTTAAGCAGAATCACACATTTAGCTATTGACAGCGGAATCCGCATGAACCACTTTACAACAGTGATCAAATTGACATCAGCATGGGGGCACCGTCCACTCTCTTCTCTGAGAATGAACTCTGCAAAACCATAATGTAAATCCTGAAGAATGTATAAAAAGAAAAATCAGACAATGTTCTGCTTCACGTTGAGTTCATAGCGCACAACATTGTAATTTTTCATTTACCATGTCAAAGTAAAAACAGACAAGGAAAAAATATGCAACTGTCCCTTTACCGTGAAGCTGTGCTTGGAAATGGGGGCTGGGCGGTTGCTTGAGAGCAAGTGAATGATTCTTTCCTTGAGCTTTCAACACTGTAACTTATTTTTCTTAGTTACTCCTTTAAGTTGGTCGAATCTTTTAATCATATGCTTTCCTCTGCTTAACTTCTTCTCTAGGTCTCCATTACAGCACACGTTGTTCCCCATTTTAGTAATAAATGAGGCATGTGGGTATTTTCGAACATATTTATATGCTTCGATGTTTTTCTCTTCATTGTTTGTTCGTTTGAATTCCACGGTACCGGATTTGAAATTTCAAACCCTGTTCTGGTTGAATGCCAAATCCTGTTTGGAGTCTAAATTCTACAAGTTTTAAGCTGGCCGGCTGTAGTTGATAAAGAAACACAACCCTCCTGTATTTTTCTTCTTCTAATTGTTTTTCTCTGTGCTACTGAAATGATTGATGCTTGACAGGTTTAGTTATCTCCAATCGATTATGGTCCAAAGGCTGACCTGAAGAATTGGAACACTAAATTGTGGGCTTTCCAAACCTTTCTCAAATGGCTGTGGCTCCGACATTGTTAGTCCTGGTTTTCTGGTTATGGATTCCCACAGAAGCTGTGGGTAGGACAGGAAATAACACCATGGCAAATAGTACTGTCCCTTCAAGACCGAAAGTTGTGAGGATAGGAGCCCTGTTCACATTTGATTCGATCATCGGAAGATCTGCTAAACCTGCAATTTCGGCTGCTGTTGATGATGTTAATTCTGATACAAGCATTCTCAACGGGATGAAGCTGGAACTTATTTTTCATGATACCAACTGCAGTGGATTTCTTGGAATGGTAGAAGGTATTTCTTTTTCTTAAACCCCAAAATTTCATTGCCTACAAGCTCAGTTCCTTCTCGTTGAGCTGTTCTTTTTAAGGTCTGTTGCTTCATTCTTGATTTTGGCATGAATATCTTTGCATAGAAATGGTTAATGCTTCCTGTATTTTTGCTGTAATAAGTTAGTGAACAGACAGAAACTTGCAGTTAGAGGGAATTCTTATTCTTTAATAGCATCTGAGAAAGACTTTGATGGTTTACATGCATGTTCGTTGGATGGAGTCTTGAGAAAAGAGTTTGTTCAAATTATGTTTCTAATTTCCCTTCTGATGAGTTTTGTGATGATGTAGCTTTGCAGTTAATGGAGAATGATGTGGTTGCCGTTATTGGTCCACAGTCCTCTGGAATAGCTCATGTGATCTCTCATGTTGTTAATGAACTCCATGTACCACTTTTATCATTTGGGGCAACCGATCCTACTCTTTCTTCCCTGCAATACCCCTATTTCATCCGTACCATTCAAAATGATCATTTCCAGATGTATGCAGTTGCGGACTTGATTGAATATTATGGATGGAGGGAGGTAATTGCTATTTTTGTGGATGATGATAACGGAAGAAATGGAATTTCTGTATTGGGCGATGCACTTGCACAGAGACGTGCCAGGATCTCCTACAAGGCCGCGTTCCCTCCAGATGCTTCCAGATCTGCCATATCTGATCTGTTAAATGGAGTAAACTTAATGGAATCACGAGTTTATGTTCTGCACGTGAATCCTGATTCAGGTTTGGCAATTTTTTCTCTTGCCAAAAAGCTTGGAATGATGAGCAATGGTTATGTTTGGATCGCTACTGATTGGCTTCCTTCGGTGCTTGATTCACAAGCACCGGCGAGCCTTGAGATCTTGAATCTTTTACAAGGTGTTGTTGCATTTCGTCATCACACTCCTTATACTAATATGAAAAATAATCTGCTCTCTAAGTTGAAAAATTTGAACAATCGTAAGACTGCAGGCTTCAATTCTTATGCTTTGTATGCGTATGATTCTGTTAAGCTTGCCGCCCATGCTTTGCATGATTTTCTCAATGATGGTGGAACCATAACTTTCACCAATGACCCTAACTTGCATGACACTAATGAAAGTATGTTGCATTTATCATCACTCCGAACTTTCAATGAGGGCCCCAAGCTTCTCCAGACAATCCTTGGAATGAATTTCACTGGTGTTAGCGGTCCAGTTCAGTTTGACAAGGACAAGAATTTAATTCGCCCAGCTTATGATATTCTAAACATTGGCGCATCAGGACCTCGTATTGTTGGTTATTGGTCTAATCACTCTGGTCTTTCAGACATAGCTCCTGAAACCTTGTACTCAAAATCACCTGACAGGTCAACTGGCAATAAACATCTGTACGGTGTGATATGGCCGGGATTGACATCAATCACACCCAGAGGCTGGGTATTCCCCAATAATGGAAAACCACTGAGAATTGCAGTGCCAAACCGAGTAAGCTACAGGGAGTTTGTTGGCAAAGACAAGGACCCTCCTGGGGTAAGAGGTTATTGCATCGATGTATTTGAAGCCGCGTTAAATTTATTGCCCTATCCTGTTCCGCGGCAATATATACTATATGGACACGGTGATAGAAATCCCAACTATGATGAGATCGTGAACCAGGTCGCACAAAATGTGAGTTCCTAATTCTAACTTACAATCTTGATTAGTTATCCTCTAACTTTGCTTCATGCTAATAGCTTTTTTCCTTTTCTTTGTTTAGAAATATGATGCTGCTGTTGGGGATGTTACTATTGTCACAAACAGGACAAGGATTGTGGATTTTACTCAACCTTACATGACTTCAGGGTTGGTTGTTGTTGTTCCTGTCAAAGAGGTGAAGTCAAGTCCTTGGTCTTTCCTCAAGCCATTTACTGCACAAATGTGGTGTGTCACCGGTGCCTTTTTTATTTTTGTTGGAGCTGTTGTATGGATTCTTGAACACCGGCACAATCATGAGTTTCGTGGACGACCGAGAAAACAACTTATGACAATCTTCTGGTTAGTATGTTCTAACAACCTGTAATATAGTATTGATATGATTAATCATGTTTCTTGTCACATCATTTCGTTTGTCATTCCTTTGTCGATTCTTAAACTCAGGCAACAATTTACTGTGTGTGTGCTTGAAGAACTCCTAGTGAACACATAATTTCAAATTTTCCAACCGATTATATCATTCTTTCGTTTTGACACCTGGAGTCTGCGCATATATAGCTTCAATTCTTCTTCTCATGGAAATTACTTCATCTTTTGCAGGTTTAGCTTCTCAACAATGTTTTTCTCACACAGTAAGCGTCCAGTGCATTTTAGTCATCCGTTGTGCAATTTTTTTGCCTGAAACTAAAATTAAAGCACCCTTATTTTGTATGGCATTTTGTACACTGCAAAGTTTCTAAACTGCCAGTACTCTGGGGTGGCATGTGCAGGAGAGAACACTGTGAGTTCTCTAGGGAGATTGGTGCTAATCATTTGGCTTTTTGTGGTGCTAATTATCAATTCAAGCTACACAGCTAGCTTGACATCCATCCTCACAGTGCAGCAACTTTCATCACAGATTGAAGGCATTGACAGTCTGATCTCAAGTACTCAACCAATTGGAGTTCAAGACGGGTCATTTGCCCGAAACTATCTCATAGATGAGCTTAACATAGCAGCATCAAGAATCGTTATATTGAAGAATCTGGAAGACTATATTGATGCCTTGGAGCGTGGACCCAGAAATGGGGGGGTGGTAGCCGTTGTTGATGAGCTTCCTTATATTGAGCTCCTTATGTCCAGCACGAATTGTGCGTTCAGAACCGTAGGCCAAGAATTTACAAAGAGCGGGTGGGGATTTGTAAGTATCTGTTTTATCATCAGTATGTCTGTGATTGGGGTTTACATGCAAGAATACTAAGAAAGATGACGTGTCTCATGACAGGCATTTCAGAGGGACTCCCCACTTGCGGTGGACATGTCGACTGCAATTCTGCAACTGTCAGAGAACGGTGACTTGCAAAAGATCCACGACAAGTGGTTACTGAAAAATGAATGTTCTGCGACACAAAACAACGATGAAAATTCAAACCAACTATCGCTGAGCAGCTTCTGGGGGCTGTTCCTCATAAGTGGGATCGCATGTCTGCTTGCATTGATTGCCTTCTGTATAAGGGTGTTTTGTCAGTTCACAAAATTCACTCCAGGCACTGATGAGGAGGCCGACCAGGAAATCATACAGCGCCGCATAGATACTAAACGCCCATGCCGGACTCCTAGTTTCAAGGACTTGATTGAATTTGCAGATAAAAGAGAAGCTGAAATCAAAGAGCAAATGAGAAAGGCTAGAAAGAAACGTGGACGCAGCGAAGCTGAGATGCGATCCAGTTCACCTTTCTAAAGAAGTGGCTCCTCTTATTTAAGTTTTCAGCTATCATTCCCAGAAATTATTTTTGATCCCGTGCTCAATTTCCCTCTTCTGTTTGATGTTCTTTACAATTTAAACCCCGTCAGTCATCCGCTTCGTGATTATAATAATGTGATCTTAGATCCTATGGAAAGGAAGTAAAACTACATCTTCCCACCCTCCTTTCAATTCCTCTGGCTAACGAGGGATTTCACCGTCTCCGCATTATGCTGGTTAAGATAGACATAGAGTGCGTATATATCATTACATCTTGCGTGTGCACTTGTTTGATGAAGAATATTATTATGGCTAGAAGGGCAACCAGCATCTGGATCCTTTTTTTTTTTTGTATATATATAAAATGTTTTCTTTTAATTTTAAAAAATGATGTAATTTATACTTTTTTTTAATAAAAATTAATTTTGATCATTAGTTGATAAAAAAATTACATAAAAGGGCTTAAATATTATAGAAAATGACCAAAAACCAAGCAAATTTTATTCTTTTTTTTTAAATTTTTAGGTACTTTTATATCTTTTTTTAGTCAAGTAACAATCAAACTTTATTTTATTAACTCTATGGTAGAGTTGCATAAAGGATGGATAGAATAAGACTTTTACTTAACCCAAACTCTAGTTTTTCTCGTGAAAAGAATTAGATTAGATAACTCATAGTCTTATCTAGTCTAGGCTTAACATGAAGTTGAACAGAACCAAACATGACTCATAAAACTTGAAAATTGATTTTACTAGTTCAATACCTTACTTTGCCTTTTCCCCCTTTTTTATTTATGACGAGTAATAATTTATTTCAACTTGATAAACTTGATTAAAATAACAAAAATACTTATTATCATATAAAATTTATTACAAAACATTAAAAGATAATCATAATAAATCAATTGATTTTATGACATTATAATTATAATTATATTAAAATAAAAAATGATTGTTGTTTGTTGTCAAGCATTATCGCAAGCTCACGGGGTCGTCACAAATATAGAATATTTTAAAGATATCATTCCCACATAAATTTAAGCAAGAGAGAGTTAACATTTTGCTATTGAACTTTGAATTAGATTGAGTAAAATCAAATGTAAGATTTGTGTGAAAGTATTAAAATTGGATTAAAAAGTGTTTTAACGCAAGTAAGAGCCTAAGATTATCTCCAACAAGCAAGAGCCTAAGATTACCGTTCCCTTTGTATTTTATAAGACTTAAATTAATTTCTTTCAAAATGATTTTTAATAAAAATAATTCTCATTTACTTGAAAAATATTTCTCAAGTCAAAATCAAGTATTTTTACAAACATTAAAAATTCTCAATCTCTTAAAAATAATTAACAAAAACAAATGTGAAGCTTCAATTTTAATTTGACTATGAAGGGTTTGTAAAACATCTCTATTTTATCAATAAAACTATCCATTTATTTATGTAAATTTCAAATCATATACTATTTTATCCAAATTAGCTTTCTCAAACACAATTTACATAAACAAAATAGTCCAAACAGTAATCAAACATTTAGAAGTATTAAGTACAAGATTAAATACATGCATACATACATACATACATACATATATATATCATTAGCCATCAAAAGAGAGAAATATTTAAGTCTTAATCCATGTAAAAGGTTTAAAATAATTCTAAAACAAGTAAACTAGCTACTTATGTTCAGAGAAGAGCAACAAACACAAAAACATTTAGCACCTATATCAAAAACAAAGGGAGAAAAGAGAAGAGAAACAGAAAAACTGAAGGAAATTCACTTAAATTTCTTCAAATCTTCATTCCTTAACTAAATCTCTTTCAAAAACATAAAACCCTAATAGAGCTATTATCACGTCCTAAAAATAGAGGTTGACCAGCACAGGATGTAAACCACTGCACATCCCTTAAACCTTAGATTGGGTAGTCTTTCCATGACTAAGATATAATTATGCTTTAGTTTGAATTAGAACATGCATAAATATTTTTTGTATTTATAAAGTATTTCAATATTTTTATATAAATTTCGACAAAACCTCCTCTATAGAGAGGATCTCTCCAAAATTCTACAATATAATATCTCTATCAAAAATATCAAGTCAATCAGGAGCAGAGCTCCTTCCAGGCAGCAAACAAAATATATAACAACATAAACAACCTAGTCACAGACTATGTGGAGCACCTAATAGTAAGTTTATAAAATAAAATTTCATAATTAAAACTTTACATCAAGAGAAAGTTTAATCATTAGCTCCTCCACGTTTAGTCAATCATAAACTCCTCAATGTTTAATGGGTGACTCAGCGTCAGTTACACTATCTGAGACCAAAATTATTTTTAGTGAATAACATCCAAAAAATAAATAATTAAACATGAATAAAAGGAAAGTTAAAAGCAATTATGTAAATTAAAAACAAAACAATCTCCATAAAGATTTAAATAAATTCAAAATAAAAGGATTCTATATAACTTTAGATAAAATCTTGATCTATTAAATTATTATATCAAAGATTGTTATCACTTGGTTTCAAGGAAGCTAATAAATGAAATGAGTAATTATAAATAGATTACTAATTAAAAACTAATGGGATATGAAATCATTAAATAATTAAATTTATTTTTTTATTTTTTTATAGGGACTTGTCAGAATAATTAACAAATATGGACACACAGTCCATGAGGACAAGTAACCCAATGCAGCTGAAGCCACGAAACAAATGTGAACACACAGTCTATGAGGATAAGTAATCAAACGCAATCGAAGCCACAAAACAGACACAAGTATGAGACCCATGAATAACAGACATGAGAACAAAGCTCATGAAAATCAAACTAGCAAGTAATTGATCATTGCGTGTCAAGGGCTAACGGAACTGTCGTTAGTAACCAGCGTTCTGTATACAGTTCCTTTTTAAATTCACTTTTAGACATGGAAGAAAATTATCACTTTCAAAATATAATTTCTCTTTTTAATATTAAACTCGCATAAAACATATAAAAGTACCAATACTTCTAAATATAAAAATTTACAATTAATATCTCATAAACTGTTCAGAAATTTTTATAGTTGGCTTTATCAAATATAGAACCACTAAAACTTATAAAAGCATTTTCATCAATATGAAAAATATAAGTCATGATTCCAAGAAGTAGGACAATTTAATTAATAAAAGTAGCTAAAGCAATAGAAATATACAAATATTTGTAAATTATTGAAAATAATATTTTGATAAAGAAAACTTTTAATATATAAAATTGGTTGGGACGTTATATACTTACCTGAAGTATTCTCGAAATTCAAAGTTTCTCTCTTACCATTTCAATCTAGTTTTTCTTCCTCCCAACACCCTATGGAATTATATTAAAAATTTAATAAACTTTTAGTAAATTTAATAATTTCCAACATTTCACTAACAAAATTTAGCCATAACAACTTGAATTTTTTTTAAAATTAAGAATTTACTCATGAAAATCCCTCAAAAGCCATAGTTCAAAACTCCACTAAAATACAATCTCCTACTAAACTTTTTGTTTAAACACCAAATGTATATTATTCTTAAATCTCACAATAAATTGCTCAACAATTTCTTAATAATCATATACCTCCAAAGAATTTAACCAGCTACATGTTACTTTCATTTAATAAAACATTTGTATACAATAGTAAGTACAATTCTTCAAATAATAACATCTAAATCAATTATGTCTTTTAAGAGATTTAATAGGATTTTTAAGAATTTTCAATCAAGCACTCCTTCTAACAAGCATTTTAACAAACACTCTATAGGCATCCAGCTTAAAGTATCTAAGCTATTTTCCTTCAATTTCATCCTAACCAAATATTCAGTAATAGCCAATTTAAACAAAAGTTGGTTTAATTCAGAAATTCTAATCTTTATGTGTCATCACTAAGCTTCAATACAATTTTTTTTAACTTAATTTAGATCTTCTTCTCCTACGTAGTCACGGCAACAACAGAACAAAAGAGGAAAAATTTGAAACTTCAACAAAATTACACACAAACTCACATGCACAGCAGAACCAACAATGGGAGGAAATTTACCATAAAATACATGAACAAAGAGGAGAAAAGAGTAAGTCGAATGTGCTACACCCAGCGAATGACGAAGGAGACCTGACGCACTCTTGACAGCAACAAGAACAGAGGAGGGGAAAGCATCGCTAATCAAGGTCAGAACCAGAAAAACCAATAGTGACACAAGGAAAAATAGATCCACAATTTGTACCTCACAAGATGTACATAGTGAACTTGAAACGGAGAAGAATGAAAGAATTTTTGTCAATATTCAGCTGCCACAAATGAATCCCCAGCACCTATCAATGGTGAACGGAAGAAATGGTGATAGTACTCTTGTTGGTGATGGCTGAAAATGGAAGAGAAGGAGGAAAAAACCAGAAGAAGAATGAAGGGAATGAAGGAAAACAGAGAACCTCTCCCTCCCTCTCTCTCTCTCTCACGTCTGGAGTGATTGAGGAATAAGGGAAGAGACATTTCAGATTTCAAAGGAGGGCAAATTGGTAAATTTATAAAGCATAAAGGTAGAAAAATAAAACTCTTTTGACCCTACCAGATTCGAACTCCAAACCAAATGGAGAAAGCTATATGTACGCTCCCACTGAACCAACAATTCTAATTATCATAATTGCTTCAAACATAATAAAAATACACTTTTAACAAATTATCATACATTTATTTTTTTATTTTTTTTTTTCAAGGTTATTATAGCTATCCTCCAAGAACCTCTGAAAATCACAGCATATCATCCCAAGTCTCAAAATTTTGCATGTGTAACCCTAGCTTCATGTATGACTCCAAAATGCATAGCTCCAATAAATGAATTTTAGCTACGACTTAAACACCTTTGTAAGCGTTTTGGTTACTCTTAGCTGCAACTAGAATGCTTCTATCATGTTCTAGTTCTGGCTTTCGGCTGAGGCTAAAAGTGGTTCAACTAAAGCTTAATTTTTCACTCTTTGTCTTATTTTTTTCTTGGAATAATAACTTCATAACTTTTTATTTACTTCTCAAATAGTGCTCCAACAATCGAAGAAGACAAGTAATTTTGTAAAATCTTAGTTTAATCTTAATCAAGATAAAAATTATGCACAATCTAGACCAATATTTTGTCACTTAAGCCCGAGTATGAGATATTTATATTTTCCTACTATGTGTACTAAAAGTATGTATAACTTCATCAAAAAGCATATGAAATTGCAAAAAAATACATTGAGAGGACATAAATTTCTATAGGTTATTAATTATACTTATATTAAAATAATTTATAAGATTGAACTAAACCAAATGGTTTAAAAGCTCTATCTCCTTTCCAGTTCAATTTAAAGACGAAGTCTAATCTTATTCATTTTTTTTTATTCTTTAGGTCATCTTTTGTAACACCTATTTTTTCAAACACAATTGTTAAAACCTAACACAATAATTAAATGACAAAACTTATCTTTTGAAAAGTTTATCATGGCAGAAAAAAACCCACAGTCGATATAATGAAAACTATCTTTTAAAAATGTTACTATAATAAAAAAGAATCTATTGTGATAAAAAAGAATAATAATGCTTAAACAAACTTGGCGGAAAAAAATTTCACTCTAGTCATTTATAAATACTTAAAACTCTCTTGAAATTTGAAAGAATATACTTAACTTGTATATTTTGCTCAGTTATTATTATTTCTATAATTATAATATCTTAAGTTAAAGGATATAATTTAAATATTTTTATTTAATCCACCCATCCTTATAAATTTTCTCTCTTCTTTTTTTTTTAATATCATGGTTCGGATTATATTCTTAAAATTTAATCCATCTTGGCTAAATTCTCTCTTCTCAAATAATTACCTAATAAAATTTAAATAACATGAAATTAAATAATTCTATCAAATTCAAACAAACAATAATAAGTACTTATTGCCCGCAATTTATTTGATAAATCAATTTCTAACATTGCTTAAATTAAGTAAAAATTGAGATGTTATGTCTTTTTTATAAGCCAGACTAGATTTATTTGAATTGAACTAAGTTGTATAAGATTGAAGGACTTTTGTATAGCCCTATTATAGGGGCTAAATTGCATTGTTTTAAAAAGTTAAAAAGAAACATTACACTAAAAATAAATTTAGAGTCCCAAATGCTTCTGAAGTTATAATTGAGGAGCCAATTTTTTCTTTTATCTTATTATTATTAAGATTCATATATAGAGCAAGTGATAAGCATTATGTTATCCTTTTTTAGTTTTCCCTCGCTTGTACTTTTTATAAGTCAATTCCATCTTTTGCATTAAAATCAAGAAAAATTTTAAATTTTATTAACTTACACATACTTTAAAAATAAAACACTAATCTTCCAACATTTATTAAAGACCAAAGGATAAAGATAAATACAATAGTCATTGAAGCTTTTCATAAATAAACTCAAAATAAATACTCTCTCTTCTCAATAAATAGGAGTAGAGGAGTATGTTCCCTCTCTTTCAAAATTTAGTGTATTAATGTATTAAGATCTTAGCTGGTACTGTATCTCTTAAAAAATATTAGGTATTTTTAATCAAATTACATCCTAATAAGTTAGTTAATTATCTTTAAATTAATATTATCTTTACATACACGCCTCTATTCGATAAGATGTCTTACTTAAAAGTGAAAGATTGAGCGGATATTTATTAAGAGTATTTTTTTAAAAAAAACTCATTAATTATGCATTAGAAACTAAAAATGTTTTATATTTTTTAACATTTAATCTTAAAAAATTATCTTGTATTTTTAAACAAAGAAAGTAATATTTGAAATTTTCTTTTACATTCATAAATTTGTCCCTAATTTATTTCACAACTAATAAAAATAAAATTTAAAATGTAATTGCCCGTAACTGCTATTATAATGGAAAAAACATTGACGAATGTTGCGTTAAACTTTTCCAGTAAAATGATAAATAAAACAAAAATCTTCCTACAAAAATATTTTGTAACTAAAGGAGTATAAACTCCCTCACTCACTTATAAGACAATTTTAAACATAATTTTATAAAAATAAATTTTTGTTAAACATACTTATTTATATTACATTTCTCTCCTAATATTTCCTGTCTCCCTCTTTTTAATATTTTTAAAAATTTGTTAAAAAATAAGACTATAAAATATTTTTAACAAACTTTATTTATATGCATTGTTTTGTTGAAAATTATCTTATAAATTAAGATAAAGAAAGGATTATTATATAGGATTAATGAGGATCTTAGGCTCTAAACTATTATAAAAATGACATATTAAATCATAAGTTCTTAAAATATGCAAAAACTACCTTTAATTTTTAAATTTTGATGACTTGAAACCTCACTGTTAAATTGAAAAAAAAGGTCATTATTTTTTAAGGTCAAGATGAATGTCATATTAATAAGCGACTGAATCTCACAACTATAAAAGTAACTGTAATTTTTGTAACCTAATCATGCTTTTAAAATTTAGAAGTTAGGGAGGTTTTTATTCATTTTAAAAATTAAAAATTAAAATATTATTTTTATAATAATTTAAAATTTAAGATACTCATTTATCATGTCATATGTCGCAAGTGTATGAGAAATTACTATCCTGTTAATGACTTAAAGTCAAAATTAATGATGACTTTTTGACTCGAAGTCAGTGTGATCACTTTTTTAAGAAAACTTTCTCATTTTAAAACATTTAGTTCACCAACACAGATTGGCATTGGATACACATGCAGATACAGTAAATTGGCTTAAGATAAAGATAAGACTGATGAGTTCAGAAACGAATAGGCATTTAAACGGGTGAGTAGGTGCCAAATTGACAGGGTGATTGACCTGTCAATGTCAAAATATCCACGGAACAAACAGCAAGACGAGGTAAAACGGATGATTGGATTTAATTAATTAATAAAGTTTTGACTGATAATCAGAAATTCCCTGCTGAAATACCCAACATACCCCTGTGAACCTGTAATGGAATTGCCTGGATTTAATCGGTCAACGTTCCCGTTAAATCCGTAATCAAATATCAAATATTGAATCAATGTGAATTGCCCATAAAGTCGTTGCAACGGAAAGCAGTTTGATATCAAAATCAATTTATACTATTTATTTATAACTCATAATAAATTCATTAGATTAAATTTATACTGATGAAGGAGGGAACGATATTCCGAAAGTGCCCCGGAGTTTGTGGAGAATTATAGAGGATCAAAAGCTGAAGCGAAATTTGATTCTTCATGGCCAAAAAAAATGGACGAGAGACTCGCTTGGGCTTGAGAGAGGCCATCCCATGGATATTCAATAATTTTAATTTCAATCCAGAAACAATGACCCAGTTCGGCCGGAAAATCATAAAGTCAAGGATTCGCCGAACGATTCAACACCGTATCTCCGTCGTCCGCCCATGCGTTCTCCGCCTTCTGCACCGCTTCCCCTCGTGTTATGGAAGGAATAGATACCGCATGCTGTCGCTGCCTTCGCTGGCCGAGCCACCGTCTACGCCACCCTCCGCAGCCGGAGATGTCGGGGAACTGGTGGAGGCGATCCCACCGGCTCTGTTCCATACCCCTGACTTGGAGCTGGAGTCTGATTTGGTGGCTTTGAAGATCAGCCTCCTGGGTGACTGCCAAATTGGAAAGACCAGCTTTTTGGTTCGTGTCTTCAATTTCATCAATGTTTTTGCATTTTAGTTGTATTTGATTCATATTTTTAATTAGTTTTTTTCCTTGGCCGAAGGTAAAGTATGTGGGGAATGAAAATGAAGAGAAATGGGAACACAAGGAAGGGTTAAACCAGATGGACAAGACTTTAGAAGTAGGAGGAGCCCGCATATCATATTCTATCTGGGAGGTTGCAGGTGAAAAAAATTAAAATGAAAGAAAGAAACTGTGATTTTGGGATAATTTGGAGCAAAAATAAATCCTTAAACAATCAAACTTTGTATGTTAACCTGCAGGTGACGGAAAGTCAGAAGACCAGATTCCATTGGCTTGTAAGGACTCTGTTGCAATTTTGATTATGTTTGATTTAACAAGCCGCTGCACCTTGAACAGGTTCGTTCTTTACCAAGTCACTCTTGATTTTGGCTCATAATTTAATTAGAATCTTATCCAGAAAATTAAATCATCCAAAAACTCTTAAAACGTGTAATAAATGTTTTCTTTCCTTGGGAATATGTTTCAGTGTCCTGGGGTGGTTCAGGGAAGCCAGGAAATGGAATCCGGTAACAATTTTTTTTCCCAACTCTAATCACTGTTTAACTCTAACCTCCATTCAAATCCAGTAAGTTATAAGAATATTAAGAATGTGAATTATAAAATGGCGTGTGTGATTTGGCAGAGCGCAATTCCAGTGTTGGTGGGAACCAAATTTGATGATTTCATTCAGCTTCCCATTGATTTGCAGTGGACCATCGCCAGTCAGGTAAACATTCCCTCAACTTCACCCTCACATTCATGTGTATTGAAGCAGTGGAAAACTGAACTTTTAACATCATAAATGTACTCTCTCCATTCTAAATTACAAACAAGATCATGCATGTCAATAAAACATAATAATAACTTTTTACAAACTTATTTTTTCATAATAAGACTATAAATTTTTAAAAGATGTTCCTACACATTTAATCATTATACTAAATTTTATTTCAATTCTTTTTTTACTTGAGGAGGAATATTAAAAAAGTGTTAAATCTTATTTTTTTCAAATTGTATTATATTTTAGAATAAAAAATTTCTTTAAAATTATCTTATAATTTGGGACTAAAAGAGAACTTAAGTTTTTAAATCCAGAACAAAATAAATTTACGTTATTCAATTTAAAAATAAACTGGTTCATAATTTATATTTTTAAACAAACTTTCAAAAATGCTTTTAATCTTAATCTCTATTTTATAATAAATTGAAAACTTAAGCTGCCCTCCGACGATAAGAAAGCAATTGATCTTGTTCGAAATTGTTGATCGTCCAGATATTGTAAAACGATATTCTGATCCAATGAATTATGAGTCATGGATAAGAAGGAACATTCAAGACAAAACTTTTCAAGTCAATGCTTGAAAGTGAAGCTACCATTCTCGTTTCTTCACTCTCACTCTTACACCGTTACACATACGTTATTTTATAAATGTAGTTGTTGTCGGTTGCAGCAAAGACTCCTTAAAGTGATAGGGACTGCGTCTCAAAAGCAACAAAAAGATGCCCCAATCAAGTCGAATTCAACTTTAATTTCCAAAAATAAATTAATAATTGTGACTGCTTGATAGTATTATATAGTCTAGTTTTCCTCTAGTGGCCGGGCATACGACTATCTTGTAGATTGAATTACTCGTCAGATAGCTCGGCACCAAAATGTTGTGCAGATTTTTTAAGATGTGGGTGTTGAATGATGAATGATCCTGAAGGCAGGGTTGGCTTCCCATGCCTTATTGTCTGTGTATTGGCAAGCAGTGCATATGTTGTTCTACTTAAATGCTCATAAAGAATTGATATGCATGGGATTGAGCAGGCAAGAACATATGCGAAGGCCCTCAATGCGACGTTGTTCTTCTCAAGCGCTACCTACAACATCAACGTGAATAAGATCTTCAAGTTCATCACAGCCAAGCTGTTCGACCTGCCCTGGACAGTGGAACGGAACTTGACTGTTGGAGAGCCCATCATTGATTTCTAATCATGTACTCACGTTGAAATATGGATGACGCTGGGATTAACGTTGTCCAAACTCAACCGGGCCCCGCTGTAATCAAGTCATAAAGGGGCAATCGAGTTGTTAGCCTCGCACGATGATACACAGACAACGAAGGTTCTTGGATCTTGAAGGAAGGGGAGCAAGCAGTATCCCAGGTGCACAGAACAGTTAAAGAAGACGGCGGCCATCTTTCACTGTGGAATATATACTTACTGTGTGTCATGTAGCACTCGATTGATTCGAAAATACCAGTACTTGAATGACCCTCTTTCATGTTCTGGCATCTATAAGAAATTATTCCCTTGTCTACTTCACCTCTTCGCACCTTGCAATCGATTATCTTCATCTTTTTAAATTTATGCGTACGGTTGGCGCAGGAAAAATAATGGGAAGCAAAATTGAAAGGTGCGAGATGAAATTGTGAGAAAAAGGCTAGAACTTGTTTGATATTTGTGCGGTGGAATTGTGAGAAAGTGGAGTTAAAATTAAGGACCACACAAAAGCAACACTGCCAAACTCGTTCTTGACGCAGTTGTCGAAAAAGGCACAACTCAAACGTCGCACTGCTCTCAGGGTATTACCTGTAAAAAGTTACACGGATCTAATGTTTCCTTCCTCCAATAGCCACACGTATCACACCGCACAGCAGTACAATAAAACTACTTGTTAACTGTGAAAATATAACGTCAAATTTTGGTACTTTATTCAGGTTTTATTATAAATTTTTAATTTTTTTATTACTTTAAATCTTTATATTTTTATTTTTTAATATTTTAAATCTTTATAACAAAATTTATTAAGGAACTCAGACAATCAAAAAATAAAAATTTAAAATTTAAAATATTAAAAAAAATATAAGGATCTATAATATCATTTATTAATTTATTAAAAATATTTGAAGTTGAAAGTAAAAAGACAACTTTAGGGTGCAAATATTGTAAGAAAAATAATTTAGCTAGTTGTTATATCTCATATTGAAAGGATTTGGAAAATGTCCTAGTTATATAAACGAGTGTGCTACACACTCTAATAAGCTAGCTTTTTAGAAAGAGAATAATGATCTCATAATAAAGTGATATTAAAATTAAATTTAAGTTGATTCAATTGGTGAATTTCTTTGATGGGCCACTTGTGATGGAGTCATCACATATTATTTGAAAAAGTAATGTTCTATATTGAAAGAATTTAGAAAGGATTCTAATTATATAAATAAATGCATTTCACACCCTAACAAACTAATTTTTTAAAGAAAAAATAATGATTTCGTGACATAATACCGCTAATGCTACGATCTTAGATAGGTTTTTTAGAGTCACGATACATGACACGAATTCCACTGTTAACGTATTAAAATCTAAAACTTTTCGTGCAAGATCAGAATCCCCATAAACAAAAATCTGGAACATACATAACCCAATTAAAAAAATAGAAACCTTAAATCTTAATAGAAGGGATTTGTTATGTTAGTGAACTTTTATATATATATACACACACACTCCTTCAATTCTTTTTATTTCATTTTTTCCACCAATTTCATTAATACTAATATAAAAAATAAAAATATATAAAATTTTAAATATGATTTTATATAACAAATTTAAAAGTGATGTTATGTTATTTTTTTTTATGAAAGATAATTTTAAAAATATCTTTTAAATATTATTTAAAAAATAATATAATAATTTATAAATGAAATTAAATAGGCTTTCCAGAACGTATCGTATAAATGGGATAGGAGGGAGTATATACATATACAAAGTGAACTTTTTTATTTACGATATAACCTCTTCCTTCGACGGCCAGTGAAGTGCTGCTATTTCGGCCCGAGAGAGCAAAGTGAGATAAACTATTTTCAGAACTAGAAAACTTTTTTATTTTTTATTTATTTTGAAGAATGCCAAATGAAGAGAGAGAGAGAGAGAGAGAGAGAGAGAGGAGCCACTATTTTTACGATATTAATCCCAGGGCGGAGTGGCGTTGAATTTTTAGACTTTCAAGATCCTGTTTTTGCTGCAACCCCATCTGTGTCTCTTTTACTCATTCTCGTGTCCCATCTCTGAGAAGCCTGCAAGAAATTGCAGAGGAGGTCGCAAGGCTAAAGGAAATGGGTTGTTGCGTAAAGCTGATAGACGCAATTCTGTTCCTATACTTTCTGCTAATAGCACTGGTAGCTCCACTCATAGATGCTCAGACATGCGTGCCTGCCAATTGCTTTCCACAGCCCCTTATCAAGTTCAGGACGTGGTACAGCCATGAATACCAGGACTACCTCGTCATCGAGAAGCCCCATTTCTTTGTAGGCTTGGTTTGGCTTGAGCTCATCTTTCAGTGGCCCATTGCTCTCATGAATCTCTACGGCATTCTCGCAGCCAAATCTTGGTTCAACACCACTTGCCTCATCTATGGTGTTTCTGTCTTTGCCTCCATGGTATGTATTCAATTTATTTTCTTCTTTTCTCCTTTCTTTCTTCAATATCATTGTTACTTTTTTTTTTTAACCCAAAAAAAAAAAATATAATTGTTAGCTTTTGTCATGAAATATACGTACGTACTTTAGAAGATGAGATTTCGTAGTCATAAATGCGCTTCTAAAAAAAGCTGCTTTGGGACGCGGCTATCATTATTTTCTTGTTTTGGACCTGAAAAAAACAGAAAATTCATATTGTTGTCCGGCGCCTTTGTCATCAATCAGAGATAACCAGAACTAGCATCTCATCCAGATTAGCATCAAAATTACTTGTAGATTTCTAATAATTTGCACTCTCGGCGTCATTATCATGAGAAAATTTTAATTTAACATGGATAATCTGTCTCTGCCTTTTTTTTTTTTTTTTGCCCGTTTGATGCAGGCTGCTGTGTTGGGAGAATTGATGGGGTCTGGAAAGGCATCAGAAAAGCTAGTGATGGTGTACTTTTCTTGCATGGTGTTCAGTGTTATAGCAACTCTGCGAGGCTTCATGCCCAATTGCAGCTCCGCTTCGTCTGGCAATGGCAAGAGAATTCTCAGGAAAAAGCGAGCTTGAATGAAATTAAACAACACTAATTACACCATCATTCACTTATTAGTTCAACTTAATTTCGTCATAGTTCAGTTTTTCTCTCCTTTCTTGTTACTTTTGTGTCTGCGATGTCCTTATGGAGCTGAGTTTATGTAATCTTGTACGACTCTGATTCTTTTCTGAGCGTCCTATGGTTGCTCCAAATTAAATGATCACGCATAAATATTCCCTATTTGGTTACTTTCAAGGAAATTGAAATTCCATATAGCGGGTCGCTTAGCATGAATTTGTGTGACTAACGTAAATTGCGAATGGTTATATTGTTATCAAATTCTTTTTGCTTAACATTTTCGATTTTACCATACGATTAAAACAAAAGTTAAGTGGCAGCATGGGCTAAAATATCACGACTAAGTTCAGCCGTATTTGTTAACTGCAGCCGGCCGATTTAAGAATGACAAAGAATCACTGGTAGTTTTTCAACTGGTGACGCTAATACTAAAATAATACTACCTTCATGAAATTTTTATGAAATTCTGTTAGTAAAAAAAAGTGAAATTTTTATGAAATTCTTGAATAAGTTATATATGTTTCAATATGCAAAGCATTATTTGAAATTTTAAGGACAATTAATATCTTAACTTTTACCTAAATTTTTTACAGGAATATATATATCAAAATTACTTGCATCACATTAATTAGAAACAAATAATTGATGTTTGGTATTAATTCTGTAAAATATTTTACATATTGAATTATAGGACTTTTCTAAAAATGCTTTATAATTAAATAATTTTCATTTCGAAGCCTACTGGATCACCCAAGAGAATAAGAGAATTGCGTAAACGAAAGGGACTACTTAGCAGAATAAGAAGCAGCATTGATTTCAAAACTCTGTAAATGCGTAAAATAGATGGTGAGAAAATTAAGCAGTGTACACGAGTGGGTGCAAGCTTTCCACCAACTAGTGCTTAATAAATTCTGATAACACCAAAAAAAATAACAAATGAAGAAGGGGATAGATAGTAATGGAGGTACATGGAAGCTGATAAAGTCCAAGTTATACAAAAAAGCTAGCTATAGCCCTAACCATGCAGTCTTGGATAGACTAATTTGGGTTAATGAAGGGAAGTCAAATCCCGAACCTCAATCCCCTCAGTGATCTGTTCAACAACTGAGAAGGGATCATGCAATAAGGTGCGCTCTTGACTTCTCGTCTGCTTTATATAAGCCGAAGTTCAACACACCGCCTTCCCATTATCTACATACGCATCCAATGCTTCCCTTCTTCAAATCCTCCTCCTCATTAAACTGCAACACAACCGACCAAACCAGACCATTGCAATGAATCACAACCAGCCTAGAGTAGATAGAAGGGTCATTGAAAACTTAATAATAAATCGCCTATATCCTTTGCGTAGTATTTTGTTTACACAGCATATAAGACATAATCTGCAGTCATGTGAGACATCTCATAATGACAACTAATTTTTTTCCGCATGTATATCTCAATTTTTTTTTAAAAGGACATATATGCATATTCCGTTAGAGTGATAAATAGAATATATATGATGCTCGGGCATAGGATGATAAGCTCAGATCAAGTAATTACCTTAAATTAGTCTATTCTTGTAACAGTGATGAATATCATCAGGCAGCTTCACAGGACAAAGAAGCCTTGATTCTCTCAACAGTGCAGGCAATGAGATTATTGACAGTGGCAACAGATCCGAGAGAGAGTTTGGCTGTCGGAACTGAGTCGACCAAAATTTGGAAAGCAACAGTCAAGAGAGATCCACCATGTGCCATGGTTCCATCCGGCAGTATAGCGAATCCAGAAGGAAGAAGGGCCACGTAGTCTGGGTCCCCTCCATTCAGAACCACGTTCATTGCAACTATATCCACGGGTGCATATATCACAAACGACCCCGTCGCGTCTCTGCAGCTTTCTTGCAGTATTAACATATTGCTTTGGCTGGAATTCGCACTCTACAGGGTTTAAAAACTCATGTTATTATTCAATTTTGCTGCAAGCATGGTCTGGAAAATAATAATGAGGTTCACATTCAATCATCTTACATTTACCCGAAGTAGAGATACACAATTCCCTGTGTCCTGACCATTAGCTATATGTGCCATTTCTTGGACTACTCCGCCATTCGAAAGAATATCCCACTGTGATCAGATGAATACGAATACATTCATTCAACGACTAAACAGCAGATGATCTAACACATGCACGTGAAGCACCGATAACGCTATAAAATTAAAAGAAAACAGATTTTTGAGAGGTTGCGTGACTATATATACCTCACTTCTGGAGTTCTCATCGCGGAGGAAATCAAAAACTCTAATAGGAGGAACTGGAAGCCAAAAAGAAGTTGCAGCACTGAGAACAATACCAGGAGGCCTTCCAGGATCATCCACACTCTTACGGGTCATGACCCTTACATCGTCTGCCCCGGTTCCAGACAGTGTAGTCCACGTGTGAGCAGTAGAAGCACCCACTCCGGCACAAAAGCTCATCACCATTCTCTCTGCCAGTTTCAGCATACTCTTCCTCCCTTCTTGGCTGGTTATCACTACACGGACAATAAGATGCAGCTCTCGTCAATTAATCCGCTTTACTGAACCCTATCTCCTTTTAGAAGAGAAACTGTAATTACGGATGAGAGTTGAAATTTTAGAATTAATAATACCGCCAACATCACCAGTGGGAATATTGGTTGCCATGGAACTGGCAAGCCTTTCACATTGTCGATCCAAAGTAGCCACCCAACGTTTTGCCCCGAAAGCATGTCCAGAGCTGACGAGCTGCTTGTATAGATCATGAACTCCTCGATCGTCCACTTCTACGTGCTCAACCCACGTCACCTGCGCCAGCAAGTTTTTCCAACGCATAATTAAGCTACAAATTAAGAGAATTGATTAATTAAGCCAGTACCAAAGCATATATATACGTACACTTCTTAACTACCTTCGAGTAGCCATTAGGCATTTCATGAATTAAGCAGCCGGAGGGCCTTCTTCTACATCTAAGTGAAGGACTAGGGCGCAAATTATCTAACGACACATCCACCACTGCCCATGTCCCTTCCCCGTGTTGTTTGCAATATCTTACAAAATAACTCTCTCGAGATGGCACCAGAGGTGTAGGTACTTGTAGCTCTGCCGTCATCTGCACAATCAAAAGCCCGATTTTCTTTTTGTTTTAACTTGCCAAATTGTTTTTCATTTTTTCGTGCTGTATATTAATTTCAGAGAAGAAGAAGGGAAGTTCTGATTCAGGTACCACTTGCAAGGCTCCGTTGTAGTTCCCAGCCACCCCTGTTGATAATACTTCAAGAGTCATTGCTCTTGAGACTATCCCTGAGAACACTGTATACCATTGATTCTGAGTTTAAAAAAATCAAATAAAACGAAATGTCAAGTCCAGAAACATATAAGGTAGTAAAAAGATGCAAAACTAACCAAATAATACGATTATTGAAGCCCTAATATGTCCCTACCACATCCATGAGAATCTCAACAAGATTAATATGGTCCATGATGACAACAGCAGTTTCTCGAGAAGCTTCACACTTGAATCCAGTAGGTTTTGGACCAATACCACGAGGGAAACTTCTGATATATTCATCCTCGTTAAGCACAGTGGTGGTTCCATCAAGAGTGGTCAGCCATAAGGGATCACCCATTTGTGCCATCCTCACCAGCTCTTCCATGGCAGCCACAGCTAGCTCTATTATTATTGGCTTATCAGCATCCGTAGGCCCACTCATAGACCTAACAACATCTCCACCTCCGTATGCGTCCTCACCAAAACCACCCACACCCAGTTCCAGTGGACGTGGAGGAACAGTTGGGGGAAGCAGTGGATAGTTCACCACCGGCTTCCCCACGTACTTTGCAGCAATTGCCGAAATCCTGTCAATCTGAACATATAACAGAAAATGTCACCATTAACGCGCGCGCTCGCACGTACTTAGCTTACTCGAACAATCAAGTTCCAAAAAGTTTGGATTATTATACCTCTTCTCGTAGACGGGCATTTTCCATTCTCAAATGATGCTCATCAAAAGACATTTCACCAATGGCGGTTGGTCCACCACAGTTTGGACATGAGGCATTGCTAAGAGCTTCCCTGTACCTCATGTTGTCTGCTCGAAGCTTCTCATTTTCGGCTCTAAGTTGTGAGTTCTCTTGCCGCTCATGTTGGGTCTGCAATAATTAACAAAACATATCAAATATATATTGAAGCCTTTCGAAGGGGTTTTGCAACTAAACGATTCAATCAAAGTACCTTCATCTGAGTTCGCTTGTTTTGGAACCAAAACTTGACCTGCAATGGCTCTAACCCTAATTCTCGGCTCAGTTCCTTTCTCTGCTTGTCATCTGGATGCGGGCACTCCTTAAAGAAACTGACCAAAAAAAAAAAATATTGTTCTCGCTGAGATATCAGTATATATGGGAAATTGAGAAGAAGAAAGCAGATGCGTTGTATTGGGTTAGCATTCATACGCTTCCATTTCCTGGATCTGGTGCTGCGTGTGGCGGTGGTAGCGCTTCTTTTTGGGGCGGGGATCATGGTCGTCGCCGGAGGCGCCTTCCTGGTTTTCACTGCCGGACTTGGTGGCACTGTCGAAGTCTTCTCCTCGGATGCGGGGTACGTCGCTCTCGGAGGTGTTGGGAGCCATGTCCAATGGGTGTAGCTGACCTTCCATCATGTTTGGCTGGAACATATCTACAGATCTTTAAGATTCCCAAGGCTTATGGTTTTTCAATCTAACAAACACAATACCAGAAAACAGTACCACTCAAAAGAGAAATTAGACAACAACATTTTCTTTAACACGTACAACTACTTATGTCCATGCTCGAGCTTGACAGGATTAATTTTACTATTATTTTTTACAACTAAAAAAGTCGAGTTGAAAGAGATTTGACTAGTTTTTTCAGTGGGGTAAACCAAATGATGTAAAAGTAAGTAGATTTGAACAGTCCTAAGAGAAAGGATGACGCGGTTTCCGAATATCGAGAAGGATTTACATGATATAATACATGAATTTCTCCGCATCAGCGAGATTAAATTTCACTAATAAAACGGGTAAAGCCTTGTGAACTTCCCACGGAACATAAAATTAACGAGGTTTAAGAAGAAAGCGCAAATGCGAAAATTAAAGATCAGAAAAATGAATCTAGTCGCAGCCAGCAAATTAGCATCTGAATTTCGGGAGAAAAAAAAAACGATGAAAGAGGTTAAATGAAAAGCAAGGGGGGCAATCGAGGAGACCTTGGGGAGACAAATAGAGACACGTTGGTTGAAAGGTATGAGGTTGAAAGTGAAGCACCGACCTGGCCGAGAGTGAGACTTGAGGGTGATCCAAATCCACCAACGTTGCCGTTCCTTCCAATCACGGACGTCATATTTCTCGCCGGAATCATCATGCCGACCGGCATATTTCACTACCAAAAACACTATTTTCCTCTTCCTCTAACTTTCAGCTGTCTCAGTATCCACTAGCCAGAACCGATGGGGTGCTTATTATGAACGGAGAACTTGCGGTTGAGTTGCTTAGCTGTCCCAACTAAGCTTTGGAAGCACTACAATGGAGAAAAATACAAAGACCATGAAATTACAGGCATTAAAAAGTGACACAGCAGGAGAGAGGGATATCATGTTTCATACCCCCAGCAAACGCGCTACCTATGACATGAAATGCAGACATATGAAGCGTCAACAATTTCCAATTTTCTCTTATGTACAGCTTTTGACAGAATAAAATTATCGAACCTAATCACAAAATTCTCGGTGGATCCAAGGCCTCTTGTTTTTCTATATCTTTCATACCTAGCTACTGCTTCTTTTCCTTCTAGCCCTAGCTGTTCACACAGCAAACTGGCTTCATCAAGAAAAGAAAAGAGAAAAGAGGAGTCCAATACAGTGTTGCGCGGGGATTTCATTACGCAAAACAAGTGATCTGAAGACTGTATATGTATGTGAGAGTCAAATAGAACTTGTAGAAACATGCTTAACAGTTACCAGTGAGCAATAGCTATGTTGAAGAAGATCAAGATCCGTTTTGGGGGACTAAAAGAGGACCCTTTTGCGAAATGCATAAAGCTGGTCGATCTCAGAAAGTTATGGTATGTGCTAACACGTTAAGCAACGGAAAGGTTGTGGAAGGCATGATCAGCTGGAAAAGCTTGTTGACGGAAAAACGGACGGGAGGAAGAAGAAGAGGAAGGAGGAAGAAAAGACAAGGAGTTGAAAGAGGGGAGGAGGCAGCAGATGGAGGAAAAAATGACAGTGATGAGTAATTGCAGAGCGTGTTGAGAGGGTGCAATTGCATTTAATGGTAGGCGAAGGAGGTGTAATTGCTAGTGTGAAAGGAAGATATACAAAGCCTATTTTTCATCCATTACTATAAAGTTTTGCCCTTGGGATCGTTCCTTCTTTAAAAAAAGAATATATATATGATCATTGACGGCTACGAAACCCCTCCTGTCACATTTTTCTTTCTTTCCTTTTCATTGCCTCAATACACTAACTCAGTTTAATATTTTACTACTCCTTCTGTATCAAATTATAAAATATTTTTTTAAAAAATTAACATTCTAAAATATAAAATATTTTAATAAAAATAAAATTTAATTAATAATACTTTTTTATTATTATCCTTTTCATATATTGTCTCTCTTTAATATTCTTTTATCAATAAAATATTAAATAAAGAGTATTTTTAAAAATTTATATTTTTATCTTGAAAAAAATAAAGTTATAAAATGTATTTAATAAACTTTATTAGCATATAAGATTTTATCTAAAAGTATCTTATAATTTGAGACGGATGAAGTATTATATTTCATATATATATATATAATACTAATATATTATATTATAATATAATTATAATAGTATAATACTATTATAATTGTAATACTAACTAGTAAACTAAGTATAATATAATATAATATAATATAATTAATGAATGTTATTATTTATTTTTGAAACAATTTTCTTTTTCTTTTGCTAAACAAAATCCATGTCTCTGAGTACACGGATTACTCCCACTCCCTCCATTCTTATTTATTAATCACACGTTAGAATACCACTTTAGTCCTTAACGAAAGTCATTCTCTATTATTTTATGCTATTTTTATATACAATTTCAAAAATATTCTCCTGCGTATTTTAAAAAAAGAAGTGCAACTATGTTCTCAAAAAAAAAAATCCCCATTCCAAATCACTTTTATTTTAATTTAGGGGTAAAAATATAAATTATATACTCTAACTATGGAGAAATTCTTAGGTAAATCAGGTGTACCACGTTATTTATAGTTTGTCCAATAAAAATATATTATTTTAATTATATTAAATATAAATTAAGTTTGATATTAATGATAGTAAAAAAAGAAAAGACAGAAGATCAAATTTGCATTCTATTTTTTAAAAAAAATTATACAAGATTTTATTTATATTATTTAAAATATTTTAATTGGACAAACTATAAATGATGTAATGTACCCAATCTACTTAAGTATTTCTCCTAAGTATATTGCTTTGATTTTGATAGGTTAATTATAAATTATAAAAATTATAAGTTACTTGTATAGAGGTTTGGAGGGAGTATGTGTGCTTTTTTTTTTTTTTTGCCAACGAGGGAGTATTTGTGCTAATAAGTATATGAAGGGAGTTGAATGACTTGATTTGGTCTTAAATATAGGATCTTAATCTTCTTTAACTTCCTCAGTTAATTTCTTTTTTTTTTTCAAATGACCTTCTTGTCTCCCATATTTAATACATCAATAAAAAGTGGGATATACGACCAGCAGGAGTCGGTTTAGCCAAAGCTCAAATCTTTGTTAGAAGAGATGCTCATATTTTGGAAAAAATGACACATTTTTTATGTAATACTAGCAAATAATCAACTTAACCATTTTTCCTAATCTCCGTAAATCAGTTAACTGGGTAGATAGAGTGGTTAATTGTAGATTTTTTCATAAAAAATGAAATTAATTGTTTAATACTTACAAGGAATCGGGACTGTGTGCAAACCGATCATTCCAGCCAAAGAAACCCGGTCGCCATTCGGCTGTATAGATCCATATTTTAAGGAATGTTACTTAAATTGATTGTGCGTTAATTATTTGCATTACATCATGCTATTCAATTAGATGCGGTTGATGAATGCTTTGGATTCTCTTTTTCTCTTTTTACAATAAATGCTTTCAGTTCTGGATCCGCATACGTTGAAATATGCATATGTTCAACTCGATCGGTTCTTGATACTCCATTCGTTTATAATTACAAGTCACTTTTAATCAAATTGCATCCTTCATGTGTTGGTGAGTTTTCTTTAAAATCATACACTATTTTTTTTATTTATCCTATTTAATAAAATGTCTTACTTAAAAAATATTATTAATTACACTTTATAACCAAGACATTTTAAAAAATTTATTAATTATACCATGAAAGACCTAAAGTGCCTTATATTTTTTAACATGATACTTTAAAAAAATACTTTTATAAAATGGATGGAGTAGAAATTACTAAGTGGGGTCAGATACAAATTTTTTATGACTATTCAGAATGCAACTTATAATTTTAAATACATATAAATTTAAAAATATATTTTATTTTTAAATAAAATGAATGACATAATTACCTTTCCTCTCTTCTTGTTTTAAGTGAGGTGGATAGGCTTGTAATAGTACAAACGAGTATAAATATTAATCTTTAACTGTAATAATTTTTGGAAATGTTTTTAAAATAAGAGGGCAAGAAATAGAAATTAGAGGGTGGATAGAAGAATGATAAGTAAATATATATTTTATAAAATTAATAACACGAAAATACAGATCAACCCACTCATTTGACTGTTAAAATCAATGTGTCTTTACTAGTTTAATAAAAAAAATTATTTTTGATCAATTTGTTTACAGTTCAACTATGATTTTGGTCATTAATATTTGAATCGATGTTTTGATGATTGATTCAAGGATTGATTTGGTTTTCAATACCATAATATAATCTCACTGTTTGCATAATTTTTCAAACAATATATGTATATATCGCCTGATCTATACTAACGAACTGGAAGTTGGTTTGGATACATTTTCTTGACATGAATTAACGAATTTGAAATACTAGTATGCTCGTGAATTATAGACTTCGTTGAAATTGTTGATTTATTTCAAGGAATAAATGAACCGAGCAAGGTTGATCATTGATAATGATTTTGGTAGTAAATTACGACGATGTCGATGTACAGTATATCATTGTCAATAATAAAGAAAGAAACAACCTGATAAAATACTAGGCCTTACCATAATTATTCTTTCTTAAAATTGATTTGTCAACAATATATTACTATAATTATTCAAGTATCATATACTCGTTTATGCGCGCGCACGGAATGCATTTATTAGAAAAGGAGAAAATTGAAAGCCATATTATAGTGGGATATGAATTCAAGGAAAAGTGGGAAATGGGCCTTTCACAGCATCCTCTCGTATTCAACGGGGACAATGCAAAGCATTTCGCATATTAATTCGTGGTTGACCTCATTCCCACTCCTTTTCTCTTCCGTAAATATAATTAGAATTACTTAGTAAGTTGATCACCACCCCAGACTTTGTTCAAGTGGTAAGGGTCAAGTAAAATGTGAATAGAACTTAAAAAGTTAAAGATTTAGACCCTTCTAATGTACTCTTTACAATACGATCTATTTAAAAATTACTCTTAATATGTTTTACGGGAATTAACTAAAATTTTAAAACCCATCAATTCTTTTTAGAAATTTAACAAACTTTCCACGTCGTTCCTGTTAAATACATATTTATTTTAATAAATTAATTTTTCTCATCAAGTGAATTTGCAATAAAAAGTCAATGATATGCATTATAAAAATCATTCTCTATATGGCTGTATACCTGACACTCCTAAGCGTAAAATATGGTAAGCTGTTTTTTCCCATAAAATATAAAAAGTTTAGCATTTATAGATTTTTTTTTTCATTTTTCCGTTGCATTTATTAACCTAATTTATTGTGTAGCATGAGAATTTATCACATTGGTTGCAATCTATTGACGAGTTTTATATCATTTTGACATTTCCTCATTAAAAAATTATTGACATAAATAATCATTACTGGTAATTGGGGCTAAGATTGTAAAAAGAAAAAAATTATACAAATAATTAAATGTTAGAGGTAAAAGTTGCTTATAATTTGTTTGGACAGGAGGGAGTAGGAAGAGGGGTTATGTGATTGGAGGAGAAAAAGAGGAGAGGGCATAGGGACTCTCAAGCGTCATCCCATTTACTCCGCTCATGCTTTTCTCGCTCTCTTTTGCTTCTTTCTATCCCTTCCCTGTTTGAATTCTCCAAATACTCGCTCCCGCTCGCTTCTATGCAAACATGAACTTGGGGATTTCCCTTTATAATGCAATCAAATTTCAAAATTACAATATTGATTAAATTTCAGTGTCCTCCATCAATGACTACAGCGGGTGTGGGTCCCCCTATTTTCTTGATCTTAGCACTCTCCCCTGTCCCCACTTTACCCCATCGGCTCAACCCTCTCCCCTTTCCAACTTTCTTGCCTTCTACTTCGGTTCCTCTCATTTTTTGCCCATCTTCTAATCCTAGTATCCTGTTTGTACTGTTTCCTATCTCATAATCAAATTATAAGATATATTTAGAAAGATTTGATTATAAAACACTCCTCCAAATCATAATATCTTTTAAAAACCTTACTTAATTTAAAATATAAGGCATTAGATAGTTTTTATATTTATTTTTTTTAACTATAACCCTACTTTATTTATTACCTATTTTGAAAAAAATATACATTAAATTTTTAATTACTATTATTAAAGCTCTTATATAAAGTATTAATGAAAGTATAAATGAAAAGATGTAAATATTTTTAAGAATTTAAGGTTTCAATTAATATTATTCATGAATTGTAAATTAATTAAATATAACTTATATTGTGATTTGGAAGAAGTAATTAACAAAAAGAATTTTATTAATTATATTTTTAAATATTATCTTTTTTTATTATATTCTCTCTTTAATATATTTTTTTTTTACAAATCAAGTAGTGCGTGAAGGCTATATTTTTTTAAAAAAATTAAGTTATAAAATGTATTTAATAAATTTTATTAATATATATGATTTTACATAAAAAAATCTTATAAATTGAGATGGGAAGAAGATATATTGCTGCCTCTCATGTGTTCTTTAATTTGTTTTTTGGCTTGGCGCGTCAACTTCTTCTTGTCGGTTCCCTGTATGCTATTCAAGCTTCCCCACCCCCTTCTCTGTGAGATAATTTATTTTCATTTTGCTCATCCTTGTCTCGACAAAGCTCCGTTTACCTACCTTATTTTTACCAAACAATTTCCACCTTATTTCCCCTTTTTAATTAAATTAATTAACCAGGGATCAATTTGATATGAGACGAATTAGTTCATCTGCCATCGTTTTTCTTCAATTATAAACTTCACGGCCGCCACGTCTAAATGATCCTGACAAACCCATTATTCCAATATAAAAAGGTGTTATCATCAATGTTCCATCACCCAATTTCCTTTCCTTTTAATTTTTTTGGTCAAATTAAAACGTCATTTCTTTCGTTATTGATGAAAATGCATGCCCTGTCCCGGTTGCATGCATTTTAATGCTCCCTTCCTCCTCCATGCATGTCCTTTTGCGGGTTGTAATCAGAAAATGATGTTTTAATTAATATACACAGATCGTATTCATGACAACATTTGAGTTGTTTTATTACATAGCTTCATTCAAAGGGAATAGGAAGCACCGAAGCCCATAAGGGGCGATATCAATTAAATATGGATAATGAATACTGCATGTGCATTATATACTACATCTTAACTTCAGATTTTAAATTAAAGCTGGGATTTATGAGCCCTTATATTTTATTATATACGATTTACTAAGCTAAACTTTATGTAGTGCATATAGAACTTTTCATGTCATTTTAAGTTTATTTATACTTCAACATTGTAATAATCTTCTCATAATTAAAAATGAGTCTACAAACTCTCTCAATATTGGATACCATAAAAACACCGAATATTTATATTGTTGCGATTAGAGTCAATGGTATAGCATGTAGAAGTCGCTAAGCAAAGTAGAGCCAGTTCTAGTCAAATTCAAATATTTAAAACAACAGAACAATACATTTTGAAAAAGAATCGTTGCTAGTCTTGAAAATGAATGCGGATGCAGGTAAGAGAAATGGAGAGATATTTACGTATCCGCCACATTATTAATAGAGAAGCTCAGGTGGTCCTTGTCTTTTCATTGAAACTCAAGCTCTTGTTTGATTGTAGTACCGTTTTATTAAACTCTTCTGCCTCTATTAATAATATTATTGTTGGATAGAAGTCCTGCCATATGAATAATTCCTTGCATCGACCCAGCACGACTTTGTGTTTTTAATTAAAGGAATGATTTCACGATCCCACAAGACTTGAATTAACATTCTCTCTTTGCTCCATCAATTCCTCACACCTACGTACTCATTACAATTCTCGTGATATCATCCATCAGCTCTCTTTAATGAATGCATGCGTCTCTACGCATAGCTTTCTATCCGTCCCTCTCTTTTCCCCTCAGAGTTTAAACCATTGGAACACAAAGGTGAATCTAAACCGAGAGGTTGGATGGTATATGTTTATCTTCTTTTGGGTATATACATCTCTGATTTTACGTTGAGGAAATGTCATGGTCATATTCACCTTCTCTTTTAGCGTATGACTGCGCGATTTCGTTTTCAAGCCTTTTCCCCTTGTTTACAATATCTTCTGGTTTAGATGGGCTTTCCATTTATTGTATGAGTTTTTCTTTAAATTTTAATTTTGTAGACTATAGAGATAGGATGTGACAAAATTGCAAGTTCATTTGGGGTAGGGCATGGGTGATGCAAGCTTGCATGGCCCTGAGGGCAAAGGCAACTGCCTGTTTGTCGTCTTTCACTTCAAAAAGTAAAAGCATCTGAGAACCCTGCATTAGAATTCCCGGTCAAACCAAAGAACCCTTCATTTAACAAGCTTTCTCCTTATATCTAGCTTCTCGAAACAGTAAGATTTTGGATCTTACTAGAATTACGCGTTGTGGTTTCTTTTGTTCACATACACATAGATTTTGATCAAATTAAACCAATCAACTTATATTTTAATAAAGAAATTAATTAAGCACGTAGAAAAGTTAGAGGTTAAAAGGTTGAACTATAAAACATGATACATTTTTAAAATTGTGTTGTACACAATCTGTTCCCCAATGCAGAAAGGTACGGTGCATTGATCACTCTCAACTTTGGTCAAATCATACACCTACAGGCCTCATGGCACCAAGAGGCCTTCAGAATGGGAAAAGCCGAGTGTTCAACTCATCCGATCCCATGTAGGTTACTTTAGTAGGAACTAGATAGGGAGATTATACTTGAATTATATTAATCAATGAGGTCATTACTCCCTCTATAAAGAGTCGTCGATACTTTTATGTGGGCACACTTGGGTTCAATTATATATAAAATTAGTAGTTTTAATTTCTTTTTTTTTTAAAAAAGAAAAGAAAAGAAAAGAAACTTTGATGGACATGACCAGAAGGTATGGGGCCCCAGCTGGCGGGCTCTCGTTTTACGCAGGCACATCCTAATTTGTTAGGCCACTTTTTCCCCTTTAATTTTTAGCACCTTGTTGAAGTTTCTTAAGAAAACATTTTTTGTCGAATTCAAACTAGTTCTCGGGATACTTGGACTCTCGCTCCTTTTTCCCCAATTCTGGCTATTCAGTACATGCCATCACTTTACTCCTTTCACTTTTGTAGTTGTGCTGTCTTTTCCTCTCTTTCCCACCCGACGGAATTAAAGATTAGGCTCCACACTACACCTGCCCAATTCTCCATTAGGCCCGGCGCTCAATTTATCTCAACAGTTCTCCATCTTGGGTTCAGGATTGAGTTTGCTTTTGTTAAAAACTTATAAAAAAAAATTAAAAATGACTTCGGAAATTTTTATAAATTATTGTAAAAATGTATATTTAATTATTTTTTTTCTAATAAACAATATACATGTTTAGGCTTGGCCCGACCAACCGTAACGTTTAGCTTCGAACCTTACTTGACCGACATAATCTGTTTTTTGTCTAATCCAACCCTCCTCAATCCAGGCCCAAACACGGCTATTTCCATATTGGACCAGAGCAGATTTGAGTTCATATTACCGGACCCATTATAAAAGCCCGTTTTGTTAATATTCAGAAACTGCAATCTGAATGCGCTGTACTTCATAAAAAAGCGTTCCCCGATCTGATTAAACAAATTTGTGAGCAGACCATCTCACTCTACGACTTCTCTCAGAAATCTTATATAACCACGGGCATGGTAATGTTTTACGATATCAGCTTCAAAGAAAAACAAAAAGAGGTAGACAATTAAATCAAATACACTAATTGGATATTGCCAGGGGGCCTGAATTTCTCAGTTTTTCACAAAATATAAACAATCTGGGTATAGCGACTGGCTAGGCCTAGGTTGCTGGTAGTAACAGATGTGCATATTCTAATGCTCAGAGAACACGATAAAAGAAGAGGACATCCTTCACTACTGATTGTTCGAAACAAGGTGTGTGGGAGTGTCGCTGCTTGTTAGGCAAAAACTTGTACTGGGGGCAGCGTGGACATGTAATGACAATTAATCAATCAGGCGGGGTATATGGGATTGCTGAATGGGTCCAAATATGAAAAGGAGGGTTTGTTATATAGGCTCATTAATTGAGAATGGTTGAAAAGGGAGTCATGGGCTGCCAATTCCTAGCGAAAATCCTTTGTGAACCACAAAGGTCAACCCCCTGCTCTCCGTCCCTTTCCCTTTGCACGTTCTCTCTTTTCTTTTCCCTCCCAGTCCCAATTCTCCAGTCCTCATCACCCCTTTAACTTTCTCTTTTATAAATCCCTCCTCTTCTTCTCCTCTCCCTTCTTTTCATGCCCAGATGGACCGCTCTCTCGCTCCTTCTATGTCCCAAGCTCCACACCCTTCTGCCGAGGAAAGCGGCTGGACTTCTTACTTGCAAGATCTCTCCAACGCTTCCTGTTTCAGCGTTGGTGGCTCTTCTCTGCTCTCAGATGCTGCTTCTTCTGCTGCTTGGAAATTCTCGCACCCCCATCATCTTCCTCGTAAGCTCACTTTCAAGAAATCTAGAACCAAACAGATATCTCAGGATGACCCTCTCGAGGACACTGCTAGCTCCCCCGTCAATAGTCCCAAGGCATGTTCATTAATCATTCCCCTGCTTTCTGATTCCCTTCTTCTCCAATTCTTCGTCTCTTATCATTAACTCTTTCTTCTCCTGCTTCTTTCCCTCAAATTTGCCATCCTTACCATCAGGTTGGGAACTTGCATCCGACTGAAAAGATTTCCATAAAGGTTGATGATCATCAACCGGATGTTGCTGCTTCTATGGTAAACCCGGAATTTGATTTATTCATGCCATTCCCTTCTTCTTTAATAGCCAAACAAAAATAAAAGCGGAAGGGTTCTTCCATGTCCTAAAACCGACTCGTGTGGCTTGTGTCGATGGTTGTGCAGGCCAAGGAATTCAGAGGAGCAGAACATTATTCAGAGTCGGTGAGAGAAGATGATGATAAGAAAGAAGGGAGTTTAAAGGCAGAGAGTACTATTGACTGCACAGACTTGAAGGAAAGGGGACTCTGCTTGGTTCCTTTGTCCATGCTGGTTAATTATTTTGGCTAAGTCATACTTGTGTATATATATATATATATATATATATTCTCCCCTTCCTTTTCTGCTTTTCTGTGTTCTTTCAAAATTGGACTATATACGGAACATGACCCATGATTATGTTAATCGATCCTAGTAGCATACTCATCAGTATCGCGTAATCTGTTGATAATTTTTGAGTCCAGATTTAGAAATAGCATATCATACTCTCGTAACCTTGAAATTGTTTCTTCATCGCCAGCTGTCGACTTGATCAAACAAAGAGAAAGAAGAAGACAAGTTGATTAAGATGATATAGTTTGGGCACTTTTGAGGCAGCTATTGGATGCAGGTAACTAAATGGTAGGGAAGTGAAGTGAAGAACAAGGTGGATCACAAGATATAACAAGTTCCCACTTGCTTAGATTTATTTGTGTATGGGGGAGATTCATTTCATAATGTTTCATCACTCTTCACTTTAACTTTGCCTAAGCATAAGAATAGGAACTTGGAAAAAAAAAAAAAATACACAACCCAAGATAGTACGGTGTTGGCAGTTATTGAATCTGTCCTAGATATCATGTCGAATAACTGATATGATTATCACAATTCAGCTACTCTCTGTCACTTTCAACCTCAAAAATATCTGTACATTTGTTTACAAAACTGAAAAATTCAAATGAGTAGTTCTCGGTGATGGAACATGGAAATTTCAAATTTAGTATCATTCAATGTAGTAGAACTGCCGGGAAACAAAATGGTTGCAAGAATGTGCGTAAATAAAAATATACATGCCATGGTGTTATATATACAAGTTTCGAGCAGTTTTCGCCCTGTTGATATCGATCTAATATTTTATGCTTCGTGAATATAGTTAATGTGATTAAGCTGACAAGTTATCTAGCTAAGTAAGGAACATTACTGATTACGTATTCGAAGAGATGAGAAAATCTAAAGGACAGAGAGATCCAAAAGATGAGAGAGTTTTTCCTGTAACATCAAAAGATCGAGATTCGTCGAAATATAATATCCAGACATTTGTTTAATCCAAAGGACAAGCTTTGGGGAAAAAATACTATTAATTCGTCCTAGCGTCTACTAGCCATTCATTTAATGGATAATAAAAATAGCAGAAACAGCTGCAAGGAGACCCCTCCATGTGCTTCTGCATTTATAACAGGTGAGCACTTAAGAAGCCTGAAGCCCAGAGACGCAGACTTGAGCACATTCATATAGAGTATATTATTTATATACGTACGCTTGTACACACACACACACACACACGTGTACAGAGACACACACTCTTCATCAGTATCCCAACCCTCACAATTACTACATCTTTTCTTTTTCTTTTATAGTGCAAGGCTGTTGCATGATATCTATTTTCATTCACTGCTAAACTGTTTACGTGCGTGGATAGACAATATTCCCCCTGTCTAATATTTATACCAAGAGTTAAAAAGAAAATAATCACAGCCTTGTGTAAAAGTCACCCCTTTCAATTTTCATTAATTTATATATTCAAGTGTATATATCGCATTGTAATTTCATGTTATAGACTGTTTAACATAAGAGATATTCTTCATCTTGGTTTTTGATTATTCCACTTCAAATCTCTGTTAGGTAAAGTATCCATATTTAATACTTTACTGTAGTTTGAGGATTGTTTTCGACAGAAAGACAACCAAAAAAAATACAAAATAATTTAGCAAGTTTTAAATGTATTTCGCATTTCTGGGAAGTAGAGCCCATCTGGTCAACATCAAGGAATGCTTGAAAGCTTCCAAATGGATCAATCCGCTGCCAAAGCTAATAATCAAAGCATATTCATTTGCCTGAGAGGTCTGATATGCTTTGTATATTCACTTCTTCCGCCAACCATCCAAAAAAGCATCCATATAATATAACGCTTGGATTAGACTAGACAAATTCAATCACCAAACAAAAGAAAAGCCCCAATATTTACCAAATAATATGCAGCAACACTCTTCAAACGGGATAAACTTGTTAGATCGATATACGTGTGAAAAGACAATTATCAATATAATTATGATTAAAAATATAATTGATTAACATCAAGGGTTAAGTAAGCGGTCATATTTATACTAATAATAACAACCACACCATTCAATAATGATGTGATTTGTGTTTGATGAGGTAGATCCGAGGTCTATTTCGGAGCTTAAATTAACCAGACAATTATATTAGAGGATCAACTTCGCCTTTTCATTATCATTAATTGGGCCTTTTTCTCTGATGGCTGTCAATTTAATCACAGCCTTTTTATTAAAATCACATACATGCAAAGTTAATCTACAGACAATAATCAATGAATCAGCGTCAAAGCACGGAGAGGTCTCATTTTTTGACGTTTGACTGTGAATTGAAACTTACAGGTCGAGAGACCAATACATATAGATTGGAAAGAGGTGAAAAGTACGGAAGGGTTGCGAACATATTCTTTGAATTAGCAGTGTTTCTGGTCTAATCTCCATCGCACTATCTAGATTCTAGAAGTACTCAATTAATCTTCTTATCCTCTAATTATAAGAAAAGTGCTCGAATTAAACAAAGTCGATAATGAAAGAATTCAACTCGATAAGACGGCATGCCCGTGTGAAGATAAGTAAAATAGGCCTCATTATTAATTAAGCTTGCCACTGACCTCTTGGCATTGCGAACTTCAGGAAAGGTATATGAAAATGATAAATTATACATAAAAAATAATTCTGTTTTAGTATTTTCAGAAAATAAAGTGTATTAACTTGACATTCATCAATAAATTTGAGTGATACAAATATCTTTTTACTTTGGGAAGGAAGTAAGAAAAAAATAAAAATGAAATTTCTTAAAAAAAATCATTACTCATTCTAATAAAAGTTGAGAAACGGGTAGGCCTGAGCCCATCTCCCGATTCCTCTAAAAATGCTCTATTCATAAGGCTCGGCTGTGATTTAAAGGATTCAAGGCCAAGCTCTTAAATTCATTAAAAAAAAGAAAAGAAATGTCTCAAAACAATTGAAATATAAGAAGTAAATAAGATATTAATTGAAATGCATATAAATCCATTTTTGATAACCAGCAGAATAGCTCAACCTTCTTAATTATGAAGGAGAATCCTATCACTCCGAAACATAAGAATCTCCACACCAAGAAAAAATATATTTTGATATGTGTAATTATAAAATATATTTAATGAGTTATTGATGTGTGTTATTTTTTTAAAAATATTTTATAATTTAAGATGGAGGGTAATTTTGTTTAAAAAAAAAATTGTTCAGCTTACAGCCAAGGCTAGTATAGAGTGTAATACTTTAAATTCAATGTCCTTTGTTTAGAAATGGAACAATTAAATAAAATAGCTAAGAACGAACAGTTGACTTAATTTAAGATAAAATATTACATGTAAAAGATTCCTATAAGAGTGTGGCTACTAACAATGATAGGGTGCTTCTGTGGAAAACATGGTGCTGTTTTGTCTCTGCGTGGTTGTGAATAAAAATCAGACTCATTTTTCATGGCCCATGATTCGAAGGAAGCCAAGTTAGAGGAGCAAGTTCAGAAAATGACCACATTTTTGTTGCTTAACACAAGCTCTTTACCCTACACAGTGCATCCCCACACACATTTAGGAGCATAATGTCTTTATCCTATTTTAGTACATATGTAAACTGATATTACTATAGCTATTTCTCCTACTGATTATTATTCTATTAATAATTTTACACAGATGATTACTGCAGACATTCTTTTACAAGTATTATGTACTACTCCTATAGCTGTTAATTATTATTATTATGGCTATTGCTGCTGCTGCTGCTATTCTACTGCTGGTGCCGCTGCTGCCTCTCCTGCTCTTACTATCACTACTACTACCATCACTACTATTGCTGTTGTTGCTACAACTACTATTACTACTGTTGCTACTGCTACTCCTACTACTACTATTACTACTAATTAAATGGCCATCCCACATCAATTGCCATTGTCTGTATTGATGATCAGTTCACTGGTATCAATGTTGCCCACTTCTTTGCTTTATAGGAGAGGTTATAGGATCAAACCCCAGGAAGTACGCAATATGCCATGCCCCTTGGAATTTCAATCATTGGGATGGCTATACTATTAGTATACCCTGTCCTGAGTAAATAGGTTTAAAAGGGTTTCACTCTTCACCCCACTAAAAAAACATGGGAGATAAACTCTAAAAAGAGGAAGGGCGAACAGTCTTATTCCTAAATAGGGCCATTATTCCTAAATAACCAAGAAACTTAAAATTGGCTCTACATTTAGTCTAACTGAGTTTCTTTCTTAACAATGAGTATTTAATTTAATCTTAATCATATATGGACCATTCTTTATTACTTAAAGAAGTATGTTAGCGGAACTTAGAATCAAAAATTTGAAATCCGAAAGCTTCTATGAGTTTCCATGTCTAATGTCCTCATCTTAGAATAGCTTATTCTCTTATCCTCTTTTTATTCCGAAGTAACCACCCATTTTCATCTTCAGGAATTATATTCCAGAATAGCCCTCTTTATTTCAGAATAGTGGTTGCTTCCTCAAAAGCTCTTTTTTAATACATCATTTCAAAACTACCACATCTATTCAAGAACAAATCTTCGTATTTTGAAGTATGTTTCCTTACTTCGATATATAAGACCCCTTATTTGGGAATAACTTTTTTATTCCTAAATAAAGCTCCATAAATCACCATCTTATGTAAATTTATTCCGATATATGAGAGTTGTTCCAAAATAGTAAACAATGTGCTATTCAAGAAACATTTTTAACTATTTTGGTATAAGCATCACTATTCTAAAATAAGTATGAAAACTGTTGCTCTATTTTTTGTGTTACTTTTTATGAGTTGTGTTAGCTCTCTAATCATCCTGAGATCCTTTTAAACACAACTTTAGATTGGATTAAGCACTTAATGATTATTCCAATATTCTTATTCCTGAATAGCCTTTGTTCTTCTGGTATAAACTCTCACGTACTTTTTGTTAGCACATTTATTGTAAAGAGTCATTACTTTCCTTGTCTACCGTAAAAGAGAAATGTAACACACCAGATTTTAAAATAATTTAACTCAACCATAATTGGGTTACAGCCACCCAACACATTCTTATATCAATAATTTCAATATAAAATATTTTATAATTGGCTTCAACTCACACACTATAACATTTCTGATAAATTTTTACCTCCCACATGCCATTAGGCTAAATCACATTTGTCCATCCTTATACTCTCAACAAGTAAAATAAGCAATTTAGTCAATTTTCAACACAAGCCAGTTATTTAGCCTTATAATCATGCTATTTTAACCAATCCAAAATAAACCAAATATTAAAATTACAGTCATCCAAATTGTACCAAAAATAGAAATAGTTTGAAAGGCATGATTACATTTATATATTCATATAATTGACAATAAACAAAAAGCCCTAATATTGATAATATAACACATTATAAATCATAAATTAAATACCCAAAAGAGACAGTGGATCTATACCACTAAGCCTCTGGGACTCCTCCACGTATCACTCGTGGCTCTTCTCCTGAAAATTATTAACCACATAATGAGACTCAAAAGTCCCAGTAACCAAAGCCAATTTATGATAGTGTATACAAACAGTTAAGTGTGTACTTACTAAGTGAGAATTAAAAATAATATAATTCCAACAAATATAA